TATGTTTAGGCGCCGAAATATTTCCGTTGAATAGTCTAATATATTTTGTTAATAAGGTCAGCATTCACTCAACATGTTTGCTTTTTACATAATTTATGCTTTTTAGCGTAAGAAGGTGAATGTGTGTGTGCGTGCGTGCGTGTGCGTGTGTGCATGTGTTTGTGTTTGTGCACATGTTTGGACTTGCGTGTGTCTATGTGTGGGTGTGATTTTATTACCAATGTTTTTATACAACTGTGATATCTGTGTCTCATAGGCCATACGTCCGGATGCTGCTTTTAAATACTGGTAATAATATAATGTCTTTTTTAATGAATTGCAGCATGTGACGCGTTAATATACTATATTTCTTCTTCTTCTTCTTCTTCTTCTTCTTCTTCTTCTTCTTCTTCTTCTTCTTCTTCTTCTTCTTCTTCTTCTTCTTCTTCTTCGTCTTCTTCTTTGTCTTCTTCTCTTATAGTTGATAAGGAATGGGAAATCCAATGTCCAAGGTCCACATCTATTTCTTCATCTGTCAATGTATGTAAACTATGACAAATATGAAGGGTGAATGAGTAAATATTGCTTTAACCCACATCATCAATATTGCAGCTATTCACAGGTAAGGATATGAAGAAGGCAGTTTAATACCATACTGACATTTTGGACTTGGTGTGTCAGGCTGTCAGACTTGTATATTTGTACACTGGCCATGGGCGAAGAATTCTGGCAATAATGAAGTGAAATACCTATGTCCTTATCTCCAGACAGTACACAGTGTAATTCACATGTAGATATAACACAGGGCAGCATGGAGTAGTGGAAAGCATGAAGAGGTGGGTAGTAGTACATCAGCAAGTTCCCATCTTTGCTGACGATATTCAAGGTGTGCTTGACAGATTGACTGATTTGTAGTTAATAAAGAAACCTCCAGTTATATGTTGTTTCCTTGACATTGAGGATACATATTGACAGCTGTGTAACTCATGTACACATGCTAGAAACAACAGCTTATATAGTAACTGTCAGCTGTAAACTTATAATGATGACCCTTGTGCAACATGATTAAAGTTTACTGGTGTGTAAAGTCTGTTTCTTAACTATCAGGAATGATCACAAGATGTTGCCGGGGGCACTATTGGAAATAATAAGGGCTGCTTGACACCAGCCATTTGTGGGACCATGGGCTATCCTTTGCTGTATGCTGGACAATACAGTTATTTGCATGTGAATGCAGGGTTGTGCTGGGCTATCCTTGTCGTTTTACAATGTTGTCCAGAGCTATACTGGACTATGTGGGGCTTTGTTTGTTATCCACCACTGCTCGTTTAGCAAATTACGAATTAGAATATCTTAAGAACCGTTGACTAGTTTTTTTTCATGCTTGGTAATGCAGTGCCGTGCTGGCTAATCCTTAGTTTCATGATGCTGGGCTATGCTGGACTATGTAGGGCTTTGCTTGGTAATGTAGTGCCGTGGTGGCTAATCCTTAGTTTCATGGTGCTGGGCTATGTAGGGCTTTGCTTGGTAATGTAGTGCCATGCTGGCTAATGCTTAGTTTCACGGTGCTGGACTATGTAGGGCTTTGCTTGGTAATGTAGTGCCGTGCTGGCTAATCCTTAGTTTCACGGTGCTGGGCTATGTAGGGCTTTGCTTGGTAATGTAGTGCCGTGATGGCTAATCCTTAGTTTCATGATGCTGGGCTATGCTTGACTATGTAGGGCTTTGCTTGGTAATGTAGTGCCGTGCTGGCTAATCCTTAGTTTCACGGTGCTGGACTATGTAGGGCTTTGCTTGGTAATGTAGTGCCGTGCTGGCTAATGCTTAGTTTCACGGTGCTGGGCTATGCTGGACTATGTAGGGCTTTGCTTGGTAATGTAGTGCCGTGCTAGCTAATCCTTAGTTTCACGGTGCTGGACTATGTAGGGCTTTGCTTGGTAATGTAGTGCTGTGTTGGCTAATCCTTAGTTTCACAGTGCTGGACTATGTAGGGCTTTGCTTGGTAATGTAGTGCCGTGTTGGCTAATCCTTAGTTTCACAGTGCTGGACTATGTAGGGCTTTGCTTGGTAATGTAGTGCCGTGCTGGCTAATCCTTAGTTTTACAGTGCTGGACTATGTAGGGCTTTACTTGGTAATGTAGTTCCGTGCTTGCTAATCCTTAGTTTCACAGTGCTGGGCTATGTAGGGCTTTGCTTGGTAATGTAGTGCCGTGGTGGCTAATCCTTAGTTTCACAGTGCTGGACTATGTAGGGCTTTGCTTGGTAATGTAGTGCCGTGTTGGCTAATCCTTAGTTTCACAGTGCTGGACTATGTAGGGCTTTGCTTGGTAATGTAGTGCCGTGGTTGCTAATCCTTAGTTTCACAGTGCTGGACTATGTAGGGCTTTGCTTGGTAATGTAGTGCCGTGTTGGCTAATCCTTAGTTTCACAGTGCTGGACTATGTAGGGCTTTGCTTGGTAATGTAGTGCCATGCTGGCTAATCCTTAGTTTCACAGTGCTGGGCTATGTAGGGCTTTGCTTGGTAATGTAGTGCCGTGCTGGCTAATCCTTAGTTTCACGGTGCTGGGCTATGTAGGGCTTTGCTTGGTAATGTAGTGCCGTGGTGGCTAATCCTTAGTTTCATGATGCTGGGCTATGCTGGACTATGTAGGGCTTTGCTTGGTAATGTAGTGCCGTGTTGGCTAATCCTTAGTTTCACAGTGCTGGACTATGTAGGGCTTTGCTTTGTAATGTAGTGCCGTGTTGGCTAATCCTTAGTTTCACAGTGCTGGACTATGTAGGGCTTTGCTTGGGCTTCTTTTCAATTTAAAAGGAATTGTTTGTTTCTATCAAAATTGTATATATTCAGAGAGTAAGCATTACTGTATGTGCTGGGCTACTGTATGCTGGCTGGGCAAGGCCAAGCTGGGCTGAGTTTGGAAAAGACATGCTCGGTTATGCAGGGCTGGGATCTAAAGTTTGACATGGAACATGCCTCTGAATCCCATGGTTTGACTATCAAAAGAAAATTCAATTCACACACATTATGTTCAGATTGGATTCAACTTTGATGACTCCTAATGGATGTGCTTGCTCTTAACACTGACTCATAAAAAGTCACCATATTGTTGATGAATAGCCTCTAAAACAAATTTGCTGTTTTTCTGATATGATTCATAAGATTCTTCATTAGTATGTTTGAGTATTGCATGAAGCCATGATGGTGCATAGTTAATCTGAGCGATTATGTCGGCTGTTAGCTCAGCCAATATTTATCCTACTCACATGCTGTTGGCTTGATAATGGTATCATCTTTTGGTAAAACTGTCTCTATTTGCAATGCAAATTGGCAGCAGAATTTAAAATGAAAATATTGTAGTTTATTGAACTCTGCCAACTCAGATAGACATAGAACAGCTTGCTCCGCCTGTGCAACAGCAGCAGCAGCAGCAGTAACAGCAACCATGTACAGGAAGGTGTTGCTGTTGTCAGAGACAATGCTGTGTCCTCACTTGTCTTCATCCCGCAATAGTTGGTGTCCCTTGAACACTGAACAAATTGTTATTTTGATGGAAGGTATCAGAGGCCAGTTATGAGTATCAATGAAAGTGTTATCATTTCAGTTTTTAAAAACTTATGCTGCATTCATAGTTCAGGTTTTTTTGGTATTCAGTTATAAAAATAATTGTTGGTTGTTGTTAGCACCTGTTGGGATCAGTTTCAAGAAAACCTGTTTTAAGACTATGACTCCATCATGAACCATCATATGAGCTGTATCCCAGCAACACAGAATGGGATGGTTGTGAAGTGACACCTTCATACATATTCCCAGACCCAGCCAGCAGCATGAAGAATGTACAAGAAACTATCATGTGTGAATGTTTTGTAGATGAGAATCTACTCTGCAAATGGAAGAAATCATTCATCTTCATTACTACTCCTCATCGACACACAAGGATTTCTTTCTGTAACAAAAACTAGACTCAGCTGTTTGCTGACAGTATATATTAGACAATATCAAAATACGCTGCACAAATACTTTTGCTGAAGTAGAATGAAAGGATGGTTCCTAAAATCTATTGAGATTGGTTTCATTGATTAGTTTCAACATAGATCATCATTATATCACCCATTTGAGAAGCTTGGTTTCACTGCCAGTTGTGGATTTGAAGGTCATTGTGGCTGTGATTTACCTCACTAGCTACACAATTATGGCTCAGATCCAGGTTGGGACTGTAATGTTGTAAGTAAATCTGTCAAGCAGCACTTGGAGGATGCGGGACCAGATTGAGGCATCCTCCACCTCTTAGGCTGATGCTTTACTATTTTGGGGGACTCATTGTACGAGCCAACTTGATTATTTAACACATGTTTTAAACTTGGTGAAGATTAAAATTCTTCTTTAGATCTAGCTTATGACTGTGATAAAAAACAAAGTTTTATGAAAAAGCTGGAGGAGGTGTGGGCAGAGTGCCAATGTTGGCGGTGGTGTGTTTGTTGTGAGTAGGGCTGTCAACTAACACTTGTACATGTTAGACAGGGGTCAGGGTGAGGCTCACTCACCAGCCAGGTAGGTTCTGGGCTGTCAGTGGAGGAATGGAAGGGAACATGACCCTTGGCATCAGGAGAGTGGGGGTGGCGGCAGATGGAGGGGTGGGGTGGATTGTGCTGGAAACTAGGAAAGCTGATGGAGTTTCATGACAAGTAGGGAACTGAAGGATGAGATGTTGTTCAGCTGGATGAACTTTACCACTGATCTCGATTACTTATAAATCAGATTACTTTCTCTACAACTTCCAGATGTACAGTGGTCGTGTTAAGTGTTTTACTTTGATTGTTGAGACAGATTGACAGACAATAGGAGAATACTTACCACAATGGTTGTGGCAGGGTCGGAAGTTTCCTTGGATTTTGGAAATGTGAACTGTTATTACAACACATAATTTGGAAGTACTCAAATTAAAACATGTTGAAATTCAATTAAATAACCCAACAAAATTGTCAAGAAAAAATATTCACAAAAATATGATTTATTTTGCAGGTTTTGATCGTAGCATTCCAGGATTCTCCCGCTACTCAGTGGTGGGTAGTTCCCAGGAGGAGTTTAACCTGAACATAGTGAACACCCAGCTGGATGATGATGCTGAGTATCGATGTCAGGTGCTGCCTGCTCAGAACAACCCTCCAATACAAGCCTTTGCTCATCTTACAGTGCTAGGTAAGTAGCCTCAGTAGTCACTGTAACCCTCCAATACAAGCCTTTGCTCATCTTACAGTGCTAGGTAAGTAGCCTCGGTAGTCACTGTAACCCTCCAATACAAGCCTTTGCTCATCTTACAGTACTAGGTAAGTAGCCTCAGTAGTCACTGTAACCCTCCAATACAAGCCTTTGCTCATCTTACAGTGCTAGGTAAGTAGCCTCGGTAGTCACTGTAACCCTCCAATACAAGCCTTTGCTCATCTTACAGTACTAGGTAAGTAGCCTCAGTAGCCACTGTAACCCTCCAATACAAGCCTTTGCTCATCTTACAGTACTAGGTAAGTAGCCTCAGTAGCCACTGTAACCCTCCAATACAAGCCTTTGCTCATCTTACAGTGCTAGGTAAGTAGCCTCAGTAGCCACTGTAACCCTCCAATACAAGCCTTTGCTCATCTTACAGTGCTAGGTAAGTAGCCTCAGTAGCCACTGTAACCCTCCAATACAAGCCTTTGCTCATCTTACAGTGCTAGGTAAGTAGTAGCCTCAGTAGTCACTGTAACCCTCCAATACAAGCCTTTGCTCATCTTACAGTGCTAGGTAAGTAGCCTGAGTAGCCACTGTAACCCTCCAATACAAGCCTTTGCTCATCTTACAGTGCTAGGTAAGTAGCCTCAGTAGCCACTGTAACCCTCCAATACAAGCCTTTGCTCATCTTACAGTACTAGGTAAGTAGCCTCAGTAGCCACTGTAACCCTCCAATACAAGCCTTTGCTCATCTTACAGTGCTAGGTAAGTAGCCTCAGTAGCCACTGTAACCCTCCAATACAAGCCTTTGCTCATCTTACAGTGCTAGGTAAGTAGCCTCAGTAGCTTGTGTAACCTTCCAATACAAGCCTTTGCTCATCTTACAGGGCTAGGTAAGTAGCCTCAGTAGCTTGTGTAACCTTCCAATACAAGCCTTTGCTCATCTTACAGTACTAGGTAAGTAGCCTCAAGAGCTTGTGCAACCCTCCATTGTACAAGTATAAGACACAACAGAAAATAGATGTATAGTCGATGATGATAGTATTTACATTGCAACAACAGTGGTCAACCTCCCAAAAATGGCCTAGGATGAATATTCAAGGTAAAAATAGTGATCTGTTCACAAATGCCGGTCTTGATATATTTTGAGATGATAATGGCATATGCTTGCCCCTTGTTTTAAAATATTTTCAAGTGGGTGAATAATATGCCAGATTGTTCTGCGCTGCTCTCTACCATTCCAGGCAACACTTGACACCATAATCAAATGAGTATAGCAACTTTGACGCTACATGTCTGACAACTGACTAGTCTTGAAAGCAGTGATATGAACTCCTACTGAACCTTAACTGAAACAGTAATTAATATTAGTTATTTTGATCTTGTACACATTTCAAGTAAATTTAGTACTTCATCAACTACAAAATCTAAATATATGAATAAAATCACGGTGTGTGTTTCCATATTTCTTAACTGGATGAAATAACATGATATCTGTAGTAAAATTACACATTTACACTTTCTGTCTCATTGTGAAATTGTGATCAAGTGTCATTAATCAGTAACTAATGCCAATATCAGTGTAGTAGGATGTCATACATGATACGTTAGAATGAGCAGCACATTTCAGGTGGGATGTGGTTACAGGGACTAGGTGAATCACACAATAAACATGTTCACATCGGGCAGAAAAGAGGAAGAATGTCTCACAGGTTAACTGACTTCAAAATCCCATTCTCAGTCTACGGTAAACCTTTTCAAAAAGCTTGTATCACAGATTTACTGACTTTAAAATACCATTCTCAGTCTAAGGTAAACCTTTTCAAAAAGCTTGTATCACAGATTTACTGACTTCAGAATACTTTTCTCAGTCTGAATTTAAATGTTATCAAAAAGCTTGTGGCACTGATTTACTCACTTCAAAAAACTTGACTCACAGTCTAAAGTTCAAGGTCTCACAGGAATACTGTTGTCAAAAGCTTTTTCTGTTTACAGTAAACACTTTACGAAGCTTGCCTCACAGATTTACCGGCACAAAATATCTTTTCAGTCAAAAGTTGTTTTTTTCATTTTTACAATATCATTTAATAAACTTGTCACCATGAACACAGCAAGAAGCAGTGTGAGCACTGCTGTCAGTGTGTTGGCCAGTCATGATCCCCCTGCATGTAACATTATCATTGTACTTAGTTCCTTCAGGTCATGATGAGACGACCTGACAACCAAACAGGGGCAGGTAACTCATGGTATGTCTCTCCTGATTGGTCTTGGTCACTGAGAAATGTTGATCATGTCAAGGTGCATAAATTGGTAACTAAATGATAACTGGTCTTCTGTTGATATATAGCAATCAGGAGACATGAATACCTAACTAACAACATGTTAATTGTTGTATTGGATGACAAGTGTTGAGCTGCCATCTTGTCTGACCTCAGTGAGCTGTGTTCTGGCTCACCAATCCCTAAACTGTCCTTGTAAACTGTTGATGTCCTTTAAACTGCCAGACAAGTATCGGGGACAATCTTGCTCCAGACAGACGTACACGAACAATATCACTGATGTTGAGGTAACAAAGTATAAGACCAAATAGTTTTTATGTTTAACAAACATGAGCTGTTAATGATTACTAATTTGTCTGGAATTTATAGGTTTAGATGGCAAATATGACCGCATAATCTTAATTGTCACTGCCATTGCTTTTGATTGAGGCTGGCATCTTGTTTTGTTTGCTTCTTTCAATGCGACACTCAGCAATATTCCAGCTGTATGACAATGGTTGAATTCAGACCACTCAGTGCAGTACTTGACATCATGAGCATTGACCTACACAACTGGGATACGATGACATGTTTCTATTGGTAGCGAGGGTTGGCAATTCTGATTGTGTTACAGTGTTTACGTCAGTAAAAAAGATTCCACTCTTCAACTACATCTGAAACCTGTAATGTGATTACTTCTCTTTAGAAACCATATAGAACTACAAGGAATTTCATTCAGGTTGTAATTCTAATTCACCTGTCTTCTTGCAGTGCCCTACTTGTGATGAGATTCAGTGATAAACTCAGAAATCTGTGATAGGCTGGAAGAATCTCAGATAGCTCTGAAAATAAATGAGGGTGTGATGTAGAGGCATTTATGTTCCTCACGCACTGTGGTCTACTGATATGCACATTCCATTCACAAACTGGTGATAAATACATAGTTTCCACCTATTCTGCAGACCATATTTCTTTCTTATAAGAAAAGTTCAGGATTGGATTAATTTTGTTGAAAGTATAGCAGGCAGTATGGAGCTCAGATTTATGTATTTAACCATGGGGAGAAAATAGACTGTACTGTCAACTTTGAAAGTAGCCTTATCATCACTGAGCTCAATCTCCTCCTTATGTTAGTTCTGATGTAGGTGAGAAGAGCTTGCTGGTCTTTGTGGAGCTCACTGACCTGGTGCAGGATCACGTAGATAATAGGAGTGACACTGCTGACACTGCCAGCAACACTGTGATACTTCTAACACCGAGTGTCAAGACGTGTGCTACCGATTCAGATAGAAAAGAACAGCAAGTCTGTCCTGCTTGTGTCATCAATCTTGTTTGAATGAATCATATTTCATATTAATGTAGACAGTTTACTTTTGGGTTGATTGTAAGATGCCTTACTGTTGTGTTATTGACAGCGGCTATTACTTGAACAAAAAGTTTTCAGTAGAGCTGTTTGTGGTGCATGTTATTTGAAGATGAAACACGATGACATCGCAGCTGCCAGCATGATCAGATTCATATTTTCCGACTGATAAAGGTGAATGCTCCTGTAGCTCTTGAATGATGAGCTTCAGATTAACGCAGGGCATTATTGCCAATTCTAAAAAACTCATTAATTGACAAAAGCAAAAAAGCAAAAACGACAACAGCATAATACTTGACAGAAATGAATGAGTGCTGTATCATTTGTTGCCTATAGGCGTGAAATTGACTGGCATTGAGCAACGTTTAGATATTGACTAATTGTAAGATTCCTCACCATCGTCGGTGCTTCGGCAGTTGGTGATTGTGTCCAGCACTGTGCCGCAGTTTAAGAGTTGCTGTTTTTTATCACAACTTGTACAAAAATGTGTGCTAGAAGATGAATTTGTGTGAAAGCATCATCTCTTGCGGAAGAGTTGATGAAAAGGCAGTAGCTTTGAAAACTCATTAGGTCTCTGTTTTGTAAAATTTAATTTTCACCAGGCGATTGATTTCTTTGCTTCTGGTTTTCGTCAGATATTGTTTCTTGTGTTAAATCTGCTTGTGTTACGCTCGTGGCCCCTCAATGTGCTTTTTGTTTCCTTTCGATTCTAGACGCTTTTGGTATGAAAAAGGTGTATAAATCAAATTTCTAACATGTAAGTGCCTGAAGCATTGTGGTCAACTGCAACCAAAAATGAGAGTTTTTTGTTTTGAGGGTAAAAAGTTGACAGATAACTTATCATGTTGAAGAGTTTAATTGGTAAAGAAAAAAGGAAAAACTCAGGAAAGATGAATTCATTCTAAGTGTGGCCCAGTAGGAAGACTATAAAAAGGGAAGTGGAATGAACTGAAGGGAGCTTTTTAACAATCTCATATCAAGAAGAGTACAGGATTTAAGATAATTCTTGAAGGCCAAAATAATGGAATGATTGTGGTGGGTGGAGAAACTTGGCAGATTAAATCCCTGATGGTAGGATGTATTTATGGAGTGCCTGTAATTATTAAAGTCAAGAAGATACCATGTCACCCATGTTTTGCCAGTCTGAAACTGTTAATCATTTCCTGAACAAACTGAGATTAATTCACAGGGAATTAACGCTGATTTCAAAGGAAGAAATGCATGAAAAAAATGAAACCAATTATATTTAATTGCATGCTGCTTGTTCCTAATTTACAGAGTGAGTTATGTTTCGTTGTCATTGACATTGCCTAACTAAACAAAACCACTTCAAACAACTAATTGGTCGAAAGAAAAATAACAGTGTATAGATCTTTTATTTTATAGATCAAATATTGTTTGTTTAGATCAGAGGTAATGTTTTCAGGCAATTTGAATTAGTTCATCTCCAACATTGAACAGGTTTCCAACATACTTAAAAGAGAAGATTTTCATTATTGGGAGAACTGTTTAGTCAATGAATTTACTTAATAGACTGCTCTGATCTGTGTTTTTGCTCCTTTAACAAGGTTTTGAGGAAAAAAATAATCTGGCACTTGAAAAAAGGGAAGAGATTTTCTCTTAATTTGTGTATGGAAAGGACATAAAGAAACAATTGTTTAGTTATTGACATGTGTCTTGATACAACTTTCTCTTTGAGAGGTACAAAATGAAGCTTTTCCTTATAGGACAATGTGAGAATATTACTCAATGTAGTAATTGTATAACAGTAAGAGGAAATCAACTCCAACCTCTCACGTATGTACTAAAAGTGTAGCAATAAGAGGACACCACCTCCATTGTCTCTATTACGTATGTACTAACGATGTAGCAATAAGAGGACACCACATCCATCCTCTCACTTACGTATGTACTAACAGTGTAGCAATAAGAGGACACCACCTCCATCCTCTCACTTACGTATGTACTAACAGTGTAGCAATAAGAGGACACACCTCCTCCACCACCTCCATCCTCTCACTTACGTATGTACTAACAGTGTAGCAATAAGAGGACACCACCTCCATCCTCTCACTTCACTAACAGTGTAGCAATGTACTAACAGTGTAGCAATAAGAGGGACACCACCTCCTCATCCTCTCTCACTTACAATAATGTACTAACAGTGTAGCAATAAGAGGGACAACACCTCCAACCTCTCACTTACGTATGTACTAACAGTGTAGCAATAAGAGGACACCACATCCATCCTCTCACTTACGTATGTACTAACAGTGTAGCAATAAAAGAGGACACCACCTTCATCCTCTCACTTACGTATGTACTAACAGTGTAGCAATAAGAGGACACCACCTCCATCCTCTCACTTACGTATGTACTAACAGTGTAGCAATAAGAGGACACCACCTCCATCCTCTCACTTACGTATGTACTAACAGTGTAGCAATAAGGGGACACCACCTCCATCCTCTCACTTACGTATGTACTAACAGTGTAGCAATAAGAGGACACCACCTCCATCCTCTCACTTACGTATGTACTAACAGTGTAGCAATAAGAGGACACCACCTTCATCCTCTCACTTTTGCAGTACGAGTATTGCTATAATGTATTGCTTATGATCAAAGGTTTGTACAAGAAGATGACCACTGTGAGAAGGTGTCTGTTACTGTGTTGTCGTGTACTCAACTGTGGAAGTTAATCCATCACAGAACTACAAAGGCAGACAGTTTACTCTCTATTCCCTTATACACAGCAGTGGTCATCTCAATCATTGTGTTCATGAATGTCTCATAAAATTCATAATAAAGGGAATAATAGTCAAGTAAAATGAACATAGACTTTCATATTTGCGTAATGATAAAGAAGTAGGCAGCGCCTCCCCTGAGTGTAAATAACCCTAATTACTGTGACGACATTAATCTTTCAGGGGTTAATAAGATGTTTCCTTCCCTCCAGAGTTCCCTCGTTCTCTGGGAGAACTCTAGGTGCAAATGCTATAGTCTGTTTTAGGCGTCTAGAAATTCTCTTTGATGTGGCCAGCGTTGGAAGCCAGTAAAATACAACGTTGAATAATGGAGAAGCAAGTCAGTCATGTTGGTTGTATAAATCTTGATGGGTGTTTTTTGAGGAAAGCGAGATTTGTGATGTTTCTTAACCTAATGTGTCATGTGAAATAAACATGAACAGCTGATAATGTGTACATAATGTATTCTGGTGAATTAGTGCTGTTTCGAAATTTAATTGAAAGTCAGTTAAATATATGCATGTTACAATAATACTTTAAACATAAATACATATTGATTGTGAGTAACCTTGATTTAGGTTCAGATGTTGTATGTCAGTATTGTTTAAGTGATGTGCAGGAACATGTCCCTTCTGTAAATACCAGGTAAATACCACACTCTCAGAGTACAGCTCTACTGTTCAGTAGACGAACATGTATTATATAAAAATAGCAAACGTTTGTTGTTTTATTTTACAGAGAAAATATAGGCACATGGCATGATAAATATGCTATTCAAGCCCCTCTCGTAATATTAAATGATTACTGACAGTGTATGTTTATTTGATGTCAATGTAAGTTTATCAAGTTATATTATCAAAATAATTGAACATATTTGGCATGATGGTAACTATATTTTGTTATAACTGTATAGAGGTATGGCAACTCTACAGGTGCATGATAATGCTGTATATGAAAACACTTTAGGTATTGATGACTCTCAGTATATTGGATAACTCTCTATTGACATTTACACTATAGGCATATGATAACTCAATATAAGTACTTGATAACTCTAACAGTATTTGATAACACTGTGGTTATTTGATAACAATAAGTACATATATGCATGAAACCGGAACTGATTCAAGATATGAACAGACACGGTGATGATCACTATATGGCCGTTTTATTTACTGATAATTCATTTTAAACCCGGAAACAATTAAAACATTGAGATATATAGATAATATATTTCATTTACAATGCCTCAACACTTTATTGATGGCATATTCCATATTTACTTTAATTCATACAAACATGTTTATGTCATTACACTATTACACGGATATTATATTGTGTACCATAAGCATTGCTTTATTTACACAGATATTACGTACTACAACAAAACATTTAGTTCTTATTACATAACGGCATCAGTATGCTGATACAGATGCCATCATCAAGGTCAAGTACATTTCTAAACACTACTGCATTCATGTACAAAACGTTGCTGGAGCAGGAATACCAACCTGGTATCAGTGGCGTAGGTGCTCCACAGTGAAGCCACTGGTAGGCTGTGTAATGTGTGTGTGCCTCATTTGTCTAATAATAAAATGGCTCAGCTAAGTACAAACATGCACTCAGACACTTACTTCCTCTCTGTATATATGCACATCAGTACACATTTACCACTACTCTTTCTAAAACGCCTGTTAGCTACACGAAAACACCACATCCTAACCCTCCTTATGATAAATTTGTATGCAAAAAAATCTAAATAGACTTACCCCAGTTAGTGCAGTGCTGTAATAATCATACCGAGGTATATAAGATCTGGGCCCCATTGCACAAATGGATCTTAGCACTCAGACCACAGTATGCCAATGTTACAGTATTACAATTAGAATTATCCAAGCAGGGAGATATCTTTGTGCAATGGGGACCTGGTCACGAGAAACCATAGAAATACCAATCACTGGCTGTGGCTGGACCAGGTAGTTGAAGACAATAAGAACCCCTTGCTAACTGTAGTCTACCAATTAGTAGAGAGTAAGTTTACAGAGCTAAAGTACACAATACATGTATTTACATTTTGCAACATGGATATGATAACTGTATAGGACCAAGTCTTTTGGTATTTTATAACTCGGTACTTGAAAAATCTCAAGGTTTTGAATGAAGTAAATTTGATGAAGTATGTTTCCTGTTTCAGTGCCGCCATCAATGCCAGAGATTGAGGGTTACACCAATGGGTCTGTGGTAGAAGTTCCACAGACACAGTCTTTGCTTAGTCTCACGTGTAAGGCAGCCAATGGCCGACCACCAGCCACTATATCCTGGTACCGGAATGGTGTGAAGGTCACCAACAATGTGGAGTATTCCACGCAGTCGTCAACGGGGGACAAGCGATCCACAGCCATCAGTGTCATCCACATTCGGTTGACCCAGCGGAGAGACGAGACCAATGCAATATATACGTGCCAGGCAACCAACACAGCTATCTCAGGAAGTCCCTTTACAACAGTGGTGCAGATCAGTATCTTAGGTTGGTACAATTCTTCCCACTGTGTAGATTCTATGTCTTAACCAATCTCAAAATGCCCATGGATTAGAAAGTTAAGAACTAATTTGTGAATGGACAGACCATAATTGTGTCAAATAAAATATGTTCCACAGCAGTTGTGTTAAATTGGAGGCAGTTAGTTTTACAAGTGACATTTTTCGACATACATCAGTGTAAGCTATTGTTATCACGTGAGGGATAGCTCATCCCTTGCCCTCTGCGCAGTGACAAGGTACACCAGGCAAGACTCCTGTCCAGATTATTATTGAACCATAGTGGGTTTTGTTTCCATCCTCGACTTTAAGTATAGACTGTATTATTTATATATGGATTGTGCAAATCACGAATATTTCATATTTTGACTCACTCACTTCAATATAGATGACAAGCACTAGGTACTATCATGTACAATGACAGATATATTGCAGATGAGGGCACTTTTTTAAGCGTTTCATCCAGGACAACTTGTTCCTGGACAACTATGAGAAGGCACTCTCCTTGTCTGTCAGTGTGATTTTCCAGCATGGTATTTTCTACCCTAATGGGTGAAATGAGTACAATTGTGTTTTCTTATTTTGCACAAACTCAAAATTGTCTTGTTAAGTCCACTGACTGCTGCCTATTTGTTTACAGAGCCCCCAGGAGCACCTGAGATTTCAGGATACACCGATAAACAGGTTGTACGAACAAATGACACATTGCAGCTGACATGCACGTCAAGGGGAGGTAATCCTATTGGGACTGTAGTGTGGTATCGGAACGATGAGCAAGTGGACTACTCCTACGTTAGCGGCAGTGACAAGGCTGTCAATGAATACACTTTCACGGTGAACTCCTCCGACAACGACGCGATCTATCGATGCGAGGTGTCCAATCTGGTGACACAGCGGCCGTACACTGCCCAGTACAAGCTCACTGTACACTGTAAGTGTTGTATGGAACAATGGTTGTTGGAATTGGCAGGGGACATTGTAATGGGTAGACTGCAGTATTTGGGTGCTAAATGCAGAATTAATGTGTTTGGTATTTGACAGAAGTTGTTGAATCGAAAACGTTCCATGGAAGTATACAGTAGAACACGGATATAGCGTACAAACGGATATAGCGAACAAATTTAAAAGTCCCGTCAACAATCCTTTATGATATCATTAGAATTATACGCGAATAACGAACTCGTGAGTAGCGAATTAACGGCTATAGCGAACTGATTTACTACCCCCAAGCTCAATTAATGACGTGATTAGCGAACTCACTCAGTGTCAGCTCAGCCACTTAGCGGTATACATCAACCTTGTTGGCGGCGAATCAACATATTGTTGAGATTGTTGTGATTGTTAAACATGTTCTAGCTAATGTCTGTGAATGATAAATTCAGAATTTTAATGTTATGTCAATATACATGTACAAGAATAAAGATTTGTAGCCTCAGCATATACGTGTCTCTACATCTCTACAATCCAAGATGGCGGTCAAATGTGAATAACGAACACCGGATATAGCGAACTAAATTTCTTGGTCCCTTGGAGTTCGTTATATCCGTGTTCTACTGTAGTTGGTTATTTTCGGTCAAAGCAGGGATTCCTTTTTTTGATACTGTATCTGGTTCAGTATATTTTGTTACATAAACTAAAGCAGGATGTAACGTGGAATATTACATACTTGAATATAAGGGCACGGGAACACCCTTCCTGAAACAAAGAAATAACAGTGGGGTTGGTGTGTTGGGACACATAAATATATCGTTCAATGGTGAGTTCATTCATGCATTTGAATGCTCATAGAAAAATGATTACATACACTTTTAAACAAATCTTTTGTTGCATTGGATTTGTCTGCAGTTTCCAATAAGACTGGATCCATCTAAGCCTTGATCAATCTTTTTCTGCTTCTTTTTCAACAGTTTGCTTGTATGGATTGTAGACATATTTTTCTGATATTGTTTTGAACAACATAAATGTTATACAATGCTCTATTCATCTAATACGTAGCAGATATTCCTTCACTGCCCTCTATGTTGATTCTGTTGTACTTGTTCAGTTTCTTAATTTGTCAATTCAACATAATGATAAACTTCCTTATAAATGTACCCTATCCCCACCAAACATTCCAAACAGTTAGCTTTCCAACAGTCCTGATGAATGATTGATCCCAGGCTAATCCATCTGTTAATAATTGGGATCAATGTTAAGGATTTTGTTTCTCAACGTCAGTAATGACTATCTTATTACACATCTTTTCTATCTCACCAAATATCACAACGCTGCTCTTCTCCTCACTGTTAAACTTCCTTTTCCCAAATTTCACCTCAACTAACTCATCTTCGTCCTCTTGTTCCAAAATTTCCAAACATCTTCCTGCACAAATTGTACCAGTCATCACGAAGTGTGATGAGAACCAAGGTTCAGCTGAAGTCTAACAAAATCATTTCTAGATGTGTAAATGTATAGAAAAGTCTTTTCATAATATTATTGTAATCCTACACATTCATACTGTGAGATATCCTTGATACATACCAACAAATAATGAAAGACTTATCAGCAGTACTGCAAACTTAGTGGTCCATATAAGGAATGTCACATGACCAGAGACGGTGCATCATATTTTTACCGCCCATGAACAACACAAAACAGTGAATGAAATACGCCAAAAATCCAGCCAGACATCAGGGCTGGTAACTTCAAAATGTTACCAGCCCGAAATGGATTTAACCAGACCAAATATGGTGAATTTATTCAGATGTATAGAACATATAAAAATATTTACCAGACCATCGGGCTGGCTAGCTGTAAATTTAGACCATCCACCAGAAATCTAGACCATGTCGGGCGGTCGGACGGGCCTTATTTCATACACTGCACAAAATGATCACCATGAAATGCAGATTCCCTCTCTATATTTAAACACTGGACCACCCATAGGGCTAAAACTTTAACCTTACTGGACATGGCCAGCTCAATTTTAGGGTCCTTTTGACTTACAAAATGCCTCCTAAAGGATTTTGGAATGCTAGGACGCACACGCTAATATTTAAAGCCAGTTGAGGCAGCAATTTCTTGTCTCATAGGGATGAAAATGAAGACCCAAGAAGTCTTTTCTGTTGATAAAGTTCCATGTGTCATCCCACATATGACATCATTACCTTTCACCTGATGAGGTGAATGTCTCTGGTAATGGATCAAAAGGCCTGTGGTTGGGACTTGGGACTGGAAACTAAATAGACCCTACACACACATGAAACTGTTAATCTATCAAACGTGTAGGAAACATGAGACTGTCAAAACTTGACATGTGCTTCTCAGATGCTGATGGCCTCAGTGTTGTCTTTAAGGAGATGTATGTACACAGGCTAAAACATTTGTGATGTGCCATACCCAAGACTTCTTTCTTGTCGTTTATCTTTGACGTTGTTATGATTCAGATGATTTGTCACTAAATTCTTTGTGTTTCAGTCTCTCCAAATCGAGTTGCAATAAATGGTGGTGACCGCCCCGCCAAGGCTGGTCAGACGGTCAAGCTGGACTGTGTGTCATCCAACAGCAATCCAGCTGCTGTCATCACCTGGTTTGCCAGGGGGAGACAACTTGCACAGACCGACACCAGGGTAGAGGCTTCCCCAGATGGCGGCTATATATCTAAGTCAACATTATCTGTGCAGCTGTCCCACCAAGATCACAACGTGAAGTACACTTGCCAGGCTACCAACCCAGCACTGGGCCAGAGTGTGGATGACACTGTCACGCTTAGTGTTTTGTGTAAGACTTTAGTCATCATTGTGGAACTTTTAACTGTCACTCAGTTTCATTATCTTTTCTTGTAGTGATCAGTCATATTCTGGGAAAAGATATCAGGTTTTGAATGCTGTTGCTTTTATAGCAAATATCAATATTTCAAACAACATCTGTTAATCATCTTTCTGACAAAATCATGACATATCTGATCAAATCAGAAAGTATATTTATCTTTAGTTCACAGGGTGAAAAGTTGGAGGGCATGTAATCAGAAAGATTTCACAAGATCTTTCTTTGAGTTTTGTCTTTGGTATTGACCTCAAAGCTGATGTCCCTATGTGGCGTCCACCATTGCCTGATGGGGCCATCAGTTGATGACAATGTGCACTGCATGCTTCAGATCCCCCCAATAAGCCCATCATCTCGGGATACACGGAGGGCAACGCAATCAAGGCGGGAGAGCTGGCCCGCATCACATGTCAGTCTTCAGGAGGGAACCCTGTAGCTAAGCTGAAGTGGTACAAAGGTGGGTGTGTGTGTCCACGAGTGTCATACAGCAGAGACCCCAGTATGTAGCTAGGCTGCCTGACACTTGAACAGTGGAGCACACGGCACTTCCTCGGACCTCACAGTCTCTATAGGATGTCCAAAACTTTGTGTACTCAGATACACTTGTGTTTCAAGTTAACGCTGGGAAAGTTTTTGAAAGGGAAGATAATATCAGAGAACAAATAATGTCAAATGAACGCAGTCTCAGGCCCACATGGAGAATTAGTTATCATCAAATCAACACACTCATAGGATAAATGTTTTTGATGAAAAATTCAGACATTATCAAACTGTCAGTGTTCAGTTTTCGCCATATTTTGTTTTCATGTGCATTTTATTTTAGCATTACACATTGTACATTACATAGTGACCATCTTTAGAGACAAATAAAGATGTCAAAGTCGTGACAGATATTCTTGCCAATTTTGAATGTGAAGGAGTAGTAGAAAATGGGATTCCCAACAGTCTGCTTAATCAGCTGAAACCTTGACAAATCTTAATTAAAATCTGCTCATCATTTGGGATTAGTGGGGTATTTTTATTTAATATTCCATTGTTGGCAGTTGAAGATGATTTCAAATATTTTGTCCCTCTTCATGCGTCATTTAAAACTTTTATAATTTCGAGTTTGGTGATGTTTCCTGACTTGAGCAGGAGAGGGTGTTTTGTGCCTTTACATTAAACATGATGAGAAATATGATTTGAAGCAGACAGCTTTACTACCCAGTTTGTCATTTTAAAGTGTATGTTAGGAGGAAGCATTATGTGAAAGTGTCTTGCTTACAATGTTGTGTCATTTTTATACTGAACTGTAAATGATGAAAATTCATTTCATGGCAAAAGATTGGAGTGATTGAGTTAAAAAGTCTGTGATTGGGGCAGTGCTGAATCCATGAAGTTGTCTAATAATATTTGACATTTGGCATAATTTCAGGATCAAGGAAAATTTCTTCTGAGAACACAAAGCGTGGTAACTTAGCCCAAGCTGTGATACAGGTGGTGGCAACACCCAATGACAACGGAGCTACGTACAAGTGTACAGCACAGAACGAAGCAACTGCATCTCCCTTGGAAACCTACGTCAATCTGACAGTCCTGTGTAAGTCACCTCCCAACCTGGTGTTGTTGTCCATCAACATTGCATGGCTTGTTGTGTGGGGTAAAACATGTAGAAAACATCCTTGGACATGGTGATACCAGACCTCAACGCTTGTTTGATAAGTCCACATGCCTGTTCTTAAATTAGGTGGTTTATTTCAAAACCCTGATAATAATTACTTTACTTGTTGTGAAACAACTGTGAGGATGGAATCATTGTGATAAATGGTCCCTCATTTGCCTTATGCTTTCAAGTTTTTACTTCAGATATTGGGAGTCTACTGAAGAATTCACACAACAAACACCAAATATTAACAACTACTCACATAAACACATACCCAATAAACAGACAAAAACCATTGATGGTCGTATCTTATTAGAGTATTAGCAGCACAGGAAAGCAGTGGTGTTTCCTGCCTCTCCAGGCCACAGAAGGGCTGCTTGCTGCTATTTGGGGACAACTTATTATGTATAGTTGACAGTGGAAAGGACTTCTGTTGAAAATCTGAAGGTTTACTTTTAGTGTGATTGCAGTCAAAATACAAGATTTATGTCAGTGCTGTAATTCAGGTGGTATTCTTAGAATTATTAGTAGAGATAACTGATGTTTTGATGTTGATTAGGAACATTGATATGCTTGCTGAAGTGGGTCATATAGACATCCTGCAAGAGTCTGTATGAGATTTATAGTGACTGCAAGGAAGCTGTTGTAGTGCCTGTGATGGGTGTAGATGCTGCTGCTGCTGCTGCCAAATACCATTGATGTAGAAGCACAGGGAGACAGATCATAGAAAGGATTACACCAAAATATCCTGTCTGGTGAAATTTGAGAGATAAACATTATGATGAAGAATGTGATGGGGGGACTGTTCTTAGCTGAACTAACACTGTCTAAACGTAATCAGATTATGGTAATGCCTGCGTCAAGTCTGAAATATGACTCTAGACTACGCTTCAGTTGAAACTGGAAATCTATTATGTTAGTATACATACGCTTCCCAAGGCAATATACAGCTAAGATGGAATTCTGTGTTTATTCAAGTAAGAATTTGAAATTGCATGCTTAGTTTGTAAATAGATATAAAAGCATAATCTGAAAGTTCACATCAGTCATGGCAAGAATGTTTTTCATTTGTTGGTTTGCAGATTTTGTCCTGGTAAAGCTTGAAGTTTGTAGAGAAAAGAAAGCACTTTCAATTTGGTCAATAGGATTGTAAATATGTGATAATTTAGTGACATGATTGATTGGATCGGTTTATAAGTAGTCATTGTGACTTCCATGCCTTGTGTAATGACATGCATGGAAACAGTGTGTGATGTACAGTTGGTGTATTGAGGAGACTCAGCACTAATGAAGATACTGTGGGATGAGAATCAACCTTTGTCTCTACCTTCCTGATTTAGGATTAGTGATTCTTAACCCAATTAATGATTCAGAAGGCATAATGTTTTTGATAATTAACTTTGGTCAATTTTATTTGATAATCAGTCCTAAATTAATGTTTCTAAGATATATTTTAACAGATTAGAGAATTTCAAATATTTCTTGTATTATTATTTTATAGTTTTGAGTACTTTCCACAGACAGTGTATGTGATATTCAGGATGCTGCAGATAAGCTGCGTATCTGCTTATAATATGCTACAGAAAAGATGAAATAAACAAGGAAAATAAATGCCAGCGTATGAAAAAGCACTAAATATTTACGTTTACGCTATGTCAAACTAACGATGTATTTACCCAATACATCAAAATCATGTTGCGTATCGTATCAATTCAAGCCAATTGAACTTATGACTTTTTCATCTGTAAATATACGCGATTCGAAGAATCTTGAATAATTGTAAATGTAATTAAACCGTGCAACGCAGATAGAATACCAATCATGGTTAGTTACCCCTTCACTGATTGGCCTATATATAAATAGCAACCAATCAAATAGCTGTTTTCTTTCTACATGTCCTGTAAACAAATCCATAATGGGAAGCAAGTGTGGTTGAAAGCTATGTGGTTGAAAATATCTAGTATTTTACGCTTTACAAACAGAAAACAACTTCATTAGAGACAATTAATCGAAATTACTGTTTCACAATCAGAGTCAAGTGCTGGTGATATTTTATATGAACTTGTAACATTAGGTATTCGCAACGTGGAAGTGAAACAACACCATGGGACCAAGGTTTGAAGATTTTGAAAAGACTAACTGTTAGAGTGAAGATATGGCTGTTATATCATCAAATAGCCATCTTGGTATCTTGTTTTCCAACAAAACGGATGTAGACTAAGGCACTTATTATTTCTTACAGCACAAGTGGATAAAGCTGTATTAGCTATTAGCTATAAATTAGCATTGTTAGGAGGATTTTGTCTTATTTTATTTTTTAATAAAAAAAAATGTCGCACCTCTTATACTTATTTGAAATGAATACCAAGATTTTAAAAAGAAGGTGGGTATCTTAAAGTATAGATACCCTCTTGAAATTGGAAATACCCATTTAGTTTCAAAAGTATGGGTATCATACCCACATGGCCAAAAGCTTATCTGGAGCTCTGATGTTTGTCATGGTGTATCAAGCCTACTTTCCATGTGATATACGTTGTTCTTTCTGTCAAGATGTAACTGAAACTAAATCATTTCCATGCAGTAAGGAAAGAGAAGTAGCTGTTAATATTTGGATAAAATGTATACTTCATTGATCAAGAACATCATTTGAATCCAACAGTTTCTCAAAATTGCAGATTTCTTTCTTCTTCTTGATTCTCAAAAACAAACTGTGTCCACCAACTGACAGACGTGTTCAAGGCTAGGTCTGTGCACAATATTGGAACTTTATAATCACGCCTTCATTTTTATCTGTTGCCTTAACAACATGACCTTTTCATAATTATGTTTATCATTTTTTCCTTTACTTTCAGTCCCCCCAGCATCAGTGAGCATCAAAACGTGGCCAGCCAAACCTAAAGCAGGACAGTTGATGAACATCACATGCGTGTCTGCCTCCTCCAACCCGGCAGCAGACATCACCTGGATCAAGGGTGCCGACCGACGCCGGGTCCAGGGCATCGACAGAGGCGAGGCGGAGGCGGAGAATGATGGAAAATCTACCACAAACGTCCTCGAGTTTTTGCCAACATCAGCAGATCACAATGCTTATTTTGGTTGCCAGGCAACAAACAGAATATTTGGGCAGGCTGTCACTGATGCTCTTACCCTTAATGTGTTGTGTAAGTAGATGATGCAATGCCTGGTCCTGTTACCAAAGTGTTACAGATTATCTCTGATTGGAATCGACAGTATGGAAATGCATTATTTTGAAGTCAAAGCCAAGTAAATGTTTTAGAATTTTATTTGTCTCATTATCTAGTCTCATGAGGCAGATGACATCTGTCAGATTGACATCTGTTTTTTCATGTTGGGAAGATCCCATTTCAGTATATCTGCTTGTACCAAATATTCTAAATTGACATGAGAAGTATATAAGTGTGTTGAAACTGAAGAGGACACATGACACAGTTAGTATTGATATAAAGTGAAGTTGGATCACTATAACATAAGCTGATGAACAGAATTATCAGGACAGCCTGTATTTGAGAAATACGTACATTTCTTCAGAAATGAGAAATAGCAACAGATGCTCCTAATCATTGTACAGTCTGTGACAGAAATGATTGAAATGTACATAAAGAAAACTACCTTATTTTTAACATGGTGTGCTAGTTGTCTTTATGTCAAGTTATATATGCACTGGCCTTGTTTCAGTTGCACCAGAGTTTAACAGTACGGGTGTCCCAGAGAAGGTGGATCTGATAGAAGGGAACAGTGTGTCACTGAACTTCTCCACATACTCTAACCCCCCGGAGGTCACGTACAAGCTGTACCGGGGCAATGTACAGCTGTCCCTGCCCAGTGATATTCCCCGCTTCAAGCTCACCGAGGGCATCCTCAAAATCACCAAGATCCGCCGAGGAGATAGAGGGGACTTCACCATTAAAGCTTCTAATGCTGAAGGCTTCACAACACACAACTTCTCCATTGAAGTCAGATGTATGTAGAATATAGTTCTATGAAGTTGGCGGGAGCCTTTTGATCATAATGTGTGCATAATTGTAATTACAGATAGTGTTGTTAATTCCTAATACCGAGATATTCTGAAGTACTAACCTCACCTGTCTCTTCCTGACAATGTCCCTGAGTGGGCCAATGGACAAGGGATAGCTGATAATGGGTAGCATCTGTTTATAGAACATACCTGACATGGTGCATAGTGACCTTATTTGTTAATGTGTCCTATCACAACACGGTGGAGTGCAGTAATCTCTCTCAGGTCTGGACACTCAACCTGATGGAGTGTTGCAGCTGAGAATGTATTACATGTGCTTTGATGTTGACTATACAATCATTAGAATGACATCTCACTTTCTGAGTCACTCAACGTGTGCTTTCAGGAGTGTTGAGTATGTCACAGTTCCTCTATACTGGCTTGAGAGGTAATGCCTTGGTGAGAGTGTTTGTTGTAACTTCAGATGCAGCCACTATAAAGAAGATCTCCGGGAAAGTCATGGAGGATGAGGGAGGCGTGGCGTTCTTTGAGTGTATTGGTGACGCCAACCCCATCACCCCCAACATGGTCATCTGGTCCCGTGCCAACTACGACATGTCCAAGACAAGGCAGACATATGAGAAAGGAAAAGCACATTTAACCGTCCATGAATTGTCCCGTACAGATACGGGTGATTTTGTGTGTACTGCAGACAACAAGATCGGCAAAGCTGCTACCAAGAAGGCTAAACTGATCGTCAAGTGTGAGTACAGGCCAGTCAGACAGAACATGGCTTTTGCATTATTCTCTGTATCCCAGGTCCCCAGGCTTGTTGTAAATCTGAAGATCTGGTAGTCCTGAAGTTGGGCACTTCTGGAGTCATCATGGTGGCTGGTCCAGACTGGATGACAGCCTGCTGCGAAATGACTGGAATACAGCTAACAATGTCCACTCATTTAGAACATTTAAGATACTGTCTCCCATATACCTTGAAACTTCATCAACCTTAGACCTGCTGAGTTATCATCTACTTGTGGAGTCATTTCTCATTGTTGCATCTACGATTTATTGATTTTGAAATATTTGTTAATTGTTTGAAGTGAAATGGATTGGTTGTCACCTGCTGGTCACTGATCACTTTCAGCCACTAGCTTGCCGTGTCCACACCTTACTACCGTCTTCCCTCTTAGACCCTAAGCTATACTGTTGATTTGGTTTAACCACAGGGTCATTTAAATGGCTCCCATTGTTGTAAATATTTTCCTCACAATCAAACTCCTTGACATCATTTGGAGTAGGATACTAACAAATCTCTACTAAATGTGCACAAGTTTATTATCTTGTGTAATAGATAAAGCTCATTGTTTTGATATGGACTTGGGACTTGTGTTTGTAATATATGTTGTTAAGTTGAGTAATATTTTCATTCTGTAATAATTGTTTACATTATTGGAGGCGAAATCTTGTGACTGCATGCTAACTAGGTGAAGTGAGGTGAAGTGGGGTTTAACATCGTACTTAAGTATATTTCGCTCAAAAGACGATGTGCATGTGTATGTATGTGTGGCTGCTTGTACTAGCCCGGACTTAAGCTGGTTTTATAGTGCTAGCTCACTGAGATACCATGCCACAGTTAAGCATGAATACTCTATTCAGACACATTTTACTGACTCCGAGCCGACCAGTCCTTGTTGTACCCATTAATGCCTAGCGCCAGGCAGGGACCAACAAGTACCATATTTTAACGTCTTTTTGGTAAGATGCAGCCGGGGATCGAACCCACGACCTTCCACTCTCCTGGCTGACACTCTAACCTGTACACCAAGCAGGCGGTGCATGCTAACTAACCATATTCTGTCCCATACATTACAACATCTGTTGTGTCGTAGTCACAGCATTCATCATCAGATTACCACTATTGATGCCTTGAAATGCACCTTACATGAGACAAAACAGCAAGTACTACCAGAAGTGGGGCTCTGTGATTCTGTTCCATTCATACTATGTATCCAACAGTGGACCAAAATGCACATGGTGGTCTTAATCTCTACATGTAGAACAGTGCCTAGCTTAGCAAGAAATACAATTGGAATGTTATCATGTTTTGGGACGTTTAATCGCAAGTTATACATTTTCATTTACAAGTTTGTTATCTGTTGTTCATTCACCAGAGGCAATCAGACATAGCTGCTAACAGGACACAAAACACAAAATAGCAATTATGCTTAAATGCACACTGTGCACAAAAAATATGACATTTCCTGAGAAATACTGTGGAGTCCGATAACACACGAGGTCCATGGATGCAGAGAGCAGCATTATGGCGAGGGATGGCTGTGTGCCTCAGCTTCTGTGATGCAGCTGAGATATTACTGACTCCAGCATTGCTCTCTTATAAAGTCATGGTGGGAGTAGCTCAAGCCACAATTTAGCCGCTATTTAACACACTACCCAAATGCAGTGTTGAACTCTTCAACTTTGACAAGAATTAGAAATGGTCTTTCAGATTCAGAAAATATCTTCAGGCTGAAGATTTAAATGCCAGCTGGCTGACAAAGATAGTCAATTTTGTTGACAAAACGATTCATTAGAAACACATTATTGGCATGGAGAGCTCAACCATTTTATGGTTCAATACATTTCAGAGTATGTTTCAAATTGAATTGGAAATTGACTAAGACACAGGTTTGGGTATGCTTTACAATCCCCATGCTGAAATGTGTGCCTGCAGTGGGAGAAGGTTATGATGTGTGTGTGTTTATTCCAGATGCACCAGTGATAGATAAGTCCCCTGAGTACTCCAAGGCTGCCAGTGAGGAGAAGTCCACGGGGAAGCTGATCTGCAAGGCATCAGGGGCCCCTAGCATCACATTCACCTGGTTCAAGGTACTGGACATTATAGCATGCCATTAGTTGTCACATATATCACATCTACAGACAATTCTGGAAATACCGTTCAAGGCTTACTCAGTTTTGGAAGAGGATTGATCACATATTTAGCAATTCAGTGCCTGGGTTTATTTTATTTCAAGTAGTTCTTTTTATATATTTTTCTTGAAAAATATATTTTGAAAGGAAGGCTACTGACTGATGCCAATGACCTTAAACTTTTGTTAGCAGGAAGTGCAGACCTATCATCATGTGAAAATACAAATGTATTCAAGTTAGTGCAATCGTTCATTAGTGAGACAAAACGATTTGTATGGCATATTGATATTTTTCTGTATAATCTCTTTTTTACTTATGCTACTTTCTTGTCCACCTTCTGTCTTCTTTAGTTGTGGGAATCTAAATTACCTATGTACATACCAAGGAGAGGGTATTCTAAGTTGGAAAACTTGTTCCTAATCCTTTTCTCTGTGAATAAAATATGTTTAAAACAAAACTGATGATAATTTCAAATGTAGGCCTGGATGCTGCCATTACAGGAATTTGTTGAAATGAACCCATGATTCGAGTAATCTTTAGTTGCCAGATTGATCTATTCATAATTTTTTTTTGAAAAGCAAAATAAAATATGATTTGTAATACCATGGAAAGTATTTTTAAGGACTTGGATCCAACTTGGCTAGCCATTGAACATTATTCATGTATTAGAAATTAGCTACAGCTGTTTTAGTTGAAAGTAGTTTCTGTAAGTTCTGTGACAAGTTTATGATGGCAAACTTGCATGTAGGTCTTCTTTACAACTTCTTGATTTCAGAATGGTCAAACTATTGACACATCCAAGTCCAAGTACTCTGTGTCTACGTCCAAGTCGGGTGACGTCGACTACACCAACACACTGCAGGTGAAGGCGGTGGCCAAGGGCGACTATGGACGCTACATGTGTAAAGCCACCAATGCCAAGGGCACAGACTCCATAGACATCGTCTTGGATGGAACAAGTATGCTTTGCATTATTTCAAACTTTCCAGACTTGTACAAGTTTAAGTTGAAATACACCAGTATTACAGATTAAGGTTGGGCTGTTTTTTATTTCCTATGCAAAATTGAACTTTTTTTAAAAAAAAGATTATTTGTAGCCGTAAGTATAATAGATGTAAAATGGGCTCTTTTTTGTTTGAATACTGAACTGAAATCAACTCCTTGGTGTTGTTTTCATGATGAGTAAGGAAGATACAGACAGGTTGGAAATGAAGTAGGAATTGCAGTTTAACCCTAACTCTTCCATTATATAGGGATGCACAGTTGCATGGTACTAGCAGTAAAGCCACAGTCATTGGGTAGAGTTTAGTTACGCATAATAATCTGGTAACTGGCAATCACAGTTACATTCATGTGATGACGCTGGTTTACCTCCTTTGGTTTGAATGTCATTATTTTCTACACTCTTTACTTGAATGACTTTCCACAAGATGTACTGAGTGTACCTATCTGTATATATAGAGGAATGGGCTTGTCAGTAGGTGTTACTGAATATCCTAGCTAGGGGCGATGGTTGCTGACTTTCTACCCATGGTTTGTGTGAGTCACTCTGTAATTGGAAGTCGCTGTTCTGCATTTGCTCAAATTTAATCAGAATTGGTTATTTCTGTGTCTTCTTCCACAGATGAACCATATGTGAATTGTGAAACTCGCATAAACATGTGAGTTAAAGTCTTAACATCAGATGTTGTGAGAAATAGAAAAGGATTTCAGTTAAATATTCACATTTTAGTATTGTTATTGTTAAATAAGCATCGTGCTGTTGGTTCTCCGTGAATGGAGTGTTTCAGAAATACTGCTACAGATCAATTGTCTAGGAATTAACAGTTTTTGTTATCACAAATTGCAAGACTAACTTTTCACTGCAGATTTTTATCATGTTTAGCTTCTTTTCATGCCTATATTGCATCTCCTCTAATTGAATTTGACTTGTTGGAATTGACCATGCTGACTTGCAATGGAATTGCAAGGGATTTTTTGGATAAAAACTTTTAGCTTGGTGTTTATAAAGTTGAACCATAGTTTGGGGAACACTTGACATCACATTGAGATTGAACGGACTGACATTGATGCTGCACGGAGATCAAGCTGCGTGAAACCGTGTTCCATAACCCCAGATAAATAGATCAATTTTTGTAATTATTTCACCAGCTTTTTTCATTTGGGTATAATAAAAGTGTTCATATCATTCAATACAGCAATTCCTTCTCATTCTTGTGGAAAAAACCACCATATCAATCAGGATAGATATTAATGCTGTCTGTTCCAAATTGCCTTTATGAATGTGAATATTTCTTTGGCCTTATCCATTTTGGAGATATGAAATTGAGACTGATTTTACGTGATTATTCAGCACGAGGATCGGTGGTTTTATAGATTGGTATGATTTTATAAAGAATGCATTTCCATGCCCAAATTCAATACCAAGACATGGAACTTACCACTTGAGTAGCTGCTTGCTTTCCATCTTTGTATAGCTGCCATCATGTGTGGGTTGTACAGCTGCCTTCATGTGTGTTTTGTACAGCTGCCTTCATGTGTGAGTTCTACAGCTGCCGTCATGTGTGGGTTGTACATCATTGTACAGCTGCCATCATGTGTGGGTATTACATCATTGTACAGCTGCTTTTATGTGTGGGTTGTACATCTTTGTACAGCTGCCTTCATATGTGGGTTGTACATCTTTGTACAGATGGCTTCATGTATGGGTTGTACATCTTTGTACAGCTGCCTTCATGTGTGTTTTGTACAGCTGCCGGCATGTCTGGGTTGCATATCATTGTACAGCTGCTTTTATGTGTGGGTTGTACATCTTTCTGCAGCTGCCTCTATATGTGTGTTGTACATCATTGTACAGCTCCTGTTATGTGTGGGTTGTACATCTTTCTACAGCTGCCTTCATGTATGGGTTCTACAGCTGCCATCATGTGTGAGTTCTACAGCTGCATTCATGTGTGAGTTGTACATCATTATACAGCTGCCGTCATCTGTGGGTTGTACATCATTGTACAGCTGCCATCATCTGTGGGTTGTACATCATTGTACAGTTGGCTTCATGTGTGGGTTGTACATCTTTTACAGCTGTCTTCATGTGTGGGCTGTACAGCTGCCTTTGTGTGTGTCTTGTACACCTCCTGTCATGTGTCGGTTGTGCATCTTTGTACAGCTGCCGTCATGTGGGTTGTACATCTTTGTGCAGTTGCTGTCATGTGTGGGTTGTACATCTTTGTGCAGTTGCTGTCATGTGTGGGTTGTACAGCTGCAGTCATGTGTGGGTTGTACAGCTGCTTTCATTTGTGGGTTGTACAGCTGCCATCAAGTGTGGGTTGTACATCTTTGTACAGCTGCTGTCATGTGTGGGTTGTACATCTTTCTATAGCTGCCGTCATGTGTGGGTTGTACACCTTTGTACAGCTGCCATCATGTGTGGGTTGTACACCTTTGTACAGCTGTCATCATGTGTGGGTTGTACACCTTTGTACAGCTGCCATCATTAGTGGGTTGTACATCTTTTTACAGCTGCTGCCGTGTGTGGGTTGTACATCTTTGTACAGCTGCCGTCGTGTGTGGGTTGTACAGCTGCCATGTGTGGGTTGTACACCTTTGTACAGCTGCCATCATGTGTGGGTTGTACACCTTTGTACAGCTGCCATCATGTGTGGGTTGTACACCTTTGTACAGCTGCCATCATTAGTGGGTTGTACATCTTTTTACAGCTGCTGCCGTGTGTGGGTTGTACATCTTTGTACAGCTGCCGTCGTGCGTGGGTTGTACATCTTTGTACAACTGCCTTCATGTGTGGGTTGTACAGCTGCCATCATGTGTGGGTCGTACATCTTTGTACAGCTGCTGTCATGTATGTGGGTTGTACATCTTTGTACCGTCTTTGTAGCTGATTTTGGCAAGTGTTTTCCATGTGTTCAACTGTAAACACATAAAGTATGCAAGAGCATAGTGTCAGCAAACTCTGTTACTTTGCACATATAGGTTATATGTATGAGGAATTCGAAATGTCAACACAAATTTTTGTTGATATTATTTTTGTTACTCTGTGAAGGTCTATCAAAACTTGAATTGTAGTTTTCTTTAAGGAAACTTGCCACTTCATCTCAATAGGGCAGATGTCATTAACTGTAAATAGATTGATAATTTCCTTATCACCTCCCTTGAGTAAATGGAAAGTTTTCAATGAATGAAGTGCCTGTCTAATTATGTTTTGCTTCAGTTTATCAATGTCAAGTGATGACAAAACGATCCGCCAACAAGTCTTGTAAGAATACTGAGTGATATGATATTGATTGGCATAGCATTAGCAGGTCTAATTCCTTCTGTGTGTACTCCAGAGGTCTTTATGTCAGCTCTCTTCATCTTTAGTATGAGAGTTGTAACGTGTCAGAAATAACACGCAGACTTCTTGGAATTGCAATATTGTTCTCACCAAGAGACTGCTTTATTTGATAAGCATTGATCAAAACTAACAAGTGCTATTTTCCTACTTAGAAGTATTCTAAAATAGATCAGAAAACACATGAGGTGAGTCAATGTACATATTTGGCACGTTAGGAATTATCACCAGCCCCATAGCAACATTTTCAACAGCTGCCAGGATGATTTGATTACTGTGTAGTTGATTGCTCTGGCCACATATTTCTTGTTTTACCTGGTTAGTATACACACTGACAGTTGTGTCAAGTTGTTCACAGAATCCTTCTTTAGTGTTCCAGGTGCAAGCAGTGGGTAGGTAGATGTTTCACCCATACTTTGGTGGCAGGCTGTGTTAAGACATTTTGTTGATGAAGGATGAGGATTATTTTTATGGATATACAACTTCTTTATTCTGTATAGGCGACGTTTTGACATAGATTCGACATAGTGTTCACTTGCAAGTGATCACTTGCTTGACATCGACATTAGAAACTATGTCGAAACGTCACCTATACAGAATAAAGAAGTTGTACATCCTTAAAAATAGTCATCATCCTTCATCTACCCAACTTCTAGAATGCCAATCAAAGAAGTCATTTTGTTGAGAATGCCAATCAAAGAAGTCATTTTGTTGATGTGAAATATTTTTTACTGGTTTTAACTCATCTGACTCCAAGTCCTGTGAGCGTATGTCATGGGCAGTGCTGTTTGTCTCAAGTTAATAGTCATTAAAATTGTCTTCTGAGAAACCTCAGAACTAGGGAATTGAATCTTGTTCTGACCATGAATGACACCCCCAGTACTGCAAACATGGAAGCCATATTGAAAAAGCTATTTATGACCTTTATTCAGTTTTGTTCAAAATGTCATGAAATATGATACATATGTAGTTAGTGGGGCTCAGCATAATGTTCTGTTTGGAGTTTTAAATTTTTACTATTTTCACATTGATTAGAATTGTGAAAAAAAGGTTTGCCATAAATGATGAAAATTAATTTTCAAGTGATTACAGAGGCTTCATACATGAAAAGAACAGGGGTCCTAACTCTGCTGTGCTGACTAAACATAGTTAAACATTCATGATAAATACAGACATTTTATTTACATGTCGGCGAAGGACAGTAAAACCAACTATTATATCACAGTAACAAGAACTAGGTCATTGTAACTCAGGTCACTTGGAAATACTTTGATGGGGATAAGGACGGTATATTTTCATGTTGTTGTTTTTTCACAAAAATCCACATTGTAACCGAATAAATTTTGGTAGCGTCACAAGTTACGAGAAATGATGAAATCATACAACATGAGAAAGGTGTATTATAGTGGTAAAGATGTTGTAAAATGGATGGCCCTATCTAATATGTAGAGTAGTACTCAGACTCTCATATTCTTTTGTCTGTGTAGATGTATTTTGACTAATGTTGCACCATTAGCCTTTTCTTCAAATGTAAATACATTACTGAGAAAATTGTACTATTTCAGTTACATTATGGCTTGTTTTATGTATTTTGCAATGTCTGAGAAAGGCGACAATTGAATGTTGACCAGTATATATCTCACTAATTTCAGTGGAAGTTACACACAAAAAATTGGTCTGTTGGTCAGAATTTCACACTGTTCCAACAAAACACAGAATAACTGGTATTACCATTTCAGTAATGTCCTGAATAGATAGACCATTATAGTTATAACATTTATCTTAATGTGGACAACACATGCACCTGTTTGGCATAAATTTACAATAAAATAAAATAGAATATTTCAAAACACACAAATATTTTCAGGATAGCGCTTTTCCTTGTTCATTAATATATTGCTATTTCTGTTCATAGTTATACAATGAAAGTTCCCTTGGTATTTCACTCTCAGAATAATTCTATAAGGTTTTGACCAAAGGAGATTATATCACGGTTTATATATTTTTGTGCAATTCTTGTATAAATATACAGTTTAATGTCCTGTCATCACAATATATTATCATCGTAAATATACAGGTTATGTTATAGAAAACAAGACAAGTTAACAAGTTAACACATCATTGTTCTGTACATAAAACAACATACAAATATTCTATGACCAACGGGACGCTGTTCTTGAACACTGCTGCTTCCCATGTTTGACTCTCTGTGTTACATGTCTTGCCCACCAGTAAGTCCATATCTTGACACGGGACGCTGTTCTTCAACACTGCTGCTTCCCATGTTTGACTCTCTGTGTTACATGTCTTGCCCACCAGTAAGTCCATATCTTGACACGGGACGCTGTTCTTCAACACTGCTGCTTCCCATGTTTGACTCTCTGTGTTACATGTCTTGCCCACCAGTAAGTCCATATCTTGACATGGGACGCTGTTCTTGAACACTGCTGCTTCCCATGTTTGACTCTCTGTGTTACATGTCTTGCCCACCAGTAAGTCCATATCGCGACACGGACGCTGTTCTTGAACACTGCTGCTTCCCATGTTTGACTCTCTGTGTTACATGTCTTGCCCACCAGTAAGTCCATATCTTGACACGGGAAGCTGTTCTTCAACACTGCTGCTTCCCATGTTTGACTCTCTGTGTTACATGTCTTGCCCACCAGTAAGTCCATATCTTGACACGGGACGCTGTTCTTGAACACTGCTGCTTCCCATGTTTGACACTCTGTGTTACATGTCTTGCCCACCAGTAAGTCCATATCTTGACACGGGACGCTGTTCTTCAACACTGCTGCTTCCCATGTTTGACTCTCTGTGTTACATGTCTTGCCCACCAGTAAGTCCATACCTTGACACGGGAAGCTGTTCTTCAACACTGCTGCTTCCCATGTTTGACTCTCTGTGTTACATGTCTTGCCCACCAGTAAGTCCATATCTTGACACGGGACGCTGTTCTTCCACACTGCTGCTTCCCATGTTTGACTCTCTGTGTTACATGTCTTGCCCACCAGTTAGTCCATATCTTGACACGGGACGCTGTTCTTGAACACTGCTGCTTCCCATGTTTGACTCTCTGTGTTACATGTCTTGCCCACCAGTAAGTCCATATCTTGACACGGGACGCTGTTCTTGAACACTGCTGCTTCCCATGTTTGACTCTCTGTGTTACATGTCTTGCCCACCAGTAAGTCCATATCTTGACACGGGAAGCTGTTCTTCAACACTGCTGCTTCCCATGTTTGACTCTCTGTGTTACATGTCTTGCCCACCAGTAAGTCCATATCTTGACACGGGACGCTGTTCTTCAACACTGCTGCTTCCCATCTTTGACTCTCTGTGTTACTTGTCTTGCCCACCAGTAAGTCCATATCTTGACACGGGACGCTGTTCTTGAACACTGCTGCTTCCCATGTTTGACTCTCTGTGTTACATGTCTTGCCCACCAGTAAATCCATATCTTGACACGGGAAGCTGTTCTTGAACACTGCTGCTTCCCATGTTTGACTCTCTGTGTTACATGTCTTGCCCACCAGTAAATCCATATCTTGACACGGGAAGCTGTTCTTCAACACTGCTGCTTCCCATGTTTGACTCTCTGTGTTACATGTCTTGCCCACCAGTAAGTCCATATCTTGACACGGGACGCTGTTCTTCAACACTGCTGCTTCCCATGTTTGACTCTGTGTGTATGACTTCCAATGTTTGACTCCTTGTGTTGAACGTGTTTCAGGTAAGCCTGATCCCCCATATGACATCCAGTTTGTCAACGCTACCCACAACACAATCACCATCTCATGGAAGCCAGGCTTTGATGGAGGACTCATCCAAAACTTCCAAGTGAGATATCGCTTAAAAGGAGAGAGGGGATTTGTGTATATTGACATCACCATCCCTGGCACAACCACCTTCATCATCAAAGGTATGTTTGAACATCACTGTTTCAGCATCCTGCTCATCCACATGAACAGTAAATATTTAAGTTTGGAAATCAACCAATTACTTTTTTTCTTTTCTCTAAGACCTCACAAGTTTATCAGTGTGAAATGTGTTCAATAATCAGTGAGTCTTGGAGTCTGCTCAAACAGTTTATGGTGTCTGTAGCTACATCCTGTGTCGAGAGAATCATCTTTACAAACATGTTCTTTGTGAAACAATGGTGTGTGTCTTTAACAGGTTTAAAGCTTGGAAGTGAATATGAAATAACGGTAATGGCTTTCAACAGCAAAGGGAAAAGCCAATTCCAGGAAAAGTTCATCAGAGCAAAAAACCTCAAGTAAGTATGGTGTCTGACAGCTGTGTAAAGCAGCAGGTTGTGTATGCCCTCAAATGATCTAGTCAGTCATTTTACGTAACAACTTCTGTATGTCTTACGAAAGAGAAAGAGCTCACAGTAACAGAGACAAAAAGAATATGGTTGTTGTCCATTGCTGAACTCATTGGAACCAAGCCCTATCAGATCAACACGTCTGTTACAGCCAAGTGTCACACATCCAATAGATACTGGTTCATAGAGGAACGTTCATTTTTTTGAAGTTTTGAGGTCAAGCATGATGAAATAGTTTGAAATTGGTGTCTGACATTTAATCAATATGTCACAGACTCGGCCTTGAGCTTCTGTTGTTGAATCCTGTGAGGAGATTGTAGTTTTCTGAAGGTGTTGGCAATGTATGTGTAAGATTGATTGGTTGGACAAGTGTGACAGACTTGTGCCCCGTGGAGCTTGCCTCACAGACTCACATAAAACATGCAGCTGTCATAAGAAACACACTTAAACAGATTGAAACCATCTCAGGTGAACATGTCAAAATAGGTTTCCAATAAGAGTTGCAACTGCTTCAAGTAGAAAAAAGATTTAACTTTGCAACTGTAGCATCCTGTATGAAAGTATTTGGTCAGGGTCAAAAGTATATCAAGTTTTTAGGAATCTTGAATCTGTCATTGTGAGGGTTAGGAGGGGAAATGGAAGAAGTCGGTTAAATCATCTAGGCTGAAGAGGGGATTCACACGCGAGGCTCATTAGTGTAATTAATACGTGCAATGTGAGTCCTGTCACTTTCCATGTACATTGCGTCAGAATTGACGTATCACACGATGTTGTTCAAGAAGACTGAAGTACCACAAGATTACTGTTCACCTCCTGCATGACTTAGACAACTTGTTAAGAGATGGAGGTGTAGTTTTTTCATAGGAGACTAAATTCCATGCTCATCACAGAAAAACGAGACCACAGAGCACTCTCTTTGAGGAAGGATTAAATTATCGATAACTTTTCCAAATCATCCCTGATTTTTTTCAATGTCTGTTAAAAGTTTGTTGCAGGTAGAAAAGTTTGTCTTTTTTAAGAAGTTTTTGAAACTGAGTCTTCTGGAACATGTATGTACCAGCATGATAGATTGTGTTTGTAATGGTGCCTCATTTGCATCAGGCACAATCTTATCAGCATCTTTGACTATGACAAGCTCTTTTTTAAATGTGACAAAAATAATGAAGTTGTAGATTTCTGGAATATATGCTGGAAAAGGAGACTTCTCCCAGGAGCTGCCCATGAAATATTCCATATGCAGTTCTTATGTTGTTTTAATGTGATTAGATTGTAACAGAAGTACCTTGGTCACATTTGATGATATCCTGGGATTTGACCTCTACTCAATGTACTGTTCATTAGATGTGGCTCCCCCAGAAGATATCACGTCAACGTTGCCGACAGACGAAGTCCCCGTAATCATCATCCTTGTCGTGTGTATTGTGGGGATCTTCCTCCTCACACTCAACGTGGGATTAATTCTGTTCTTCGTGAGAAGGAGACGTAAGCGGCTGGAGAGTATGTATAATGGTGACTACTTGAGTTGCTTGATGACCGTCTGTTTACATCATACTGGTAGATGCAGTCTTCGGGGTGGGCCTGTTAACATAGTACTATGCTTCTTTTTCTGATGCAAAACTTAACATGTTTTACAGTTCATAGGATTGACTGATCGAAGCCAAAATGCTAAGTGACAAAACATTGTTGAGTATATTTTAATCCAGTTGACAGGTCTCACATCTATGAATTGGGAAATAGAACTGCCAGAATGTTACAATGGGCAGCTGTGAACACTTGCTATGCCCTTTGATCAAATACTGTGTGTCATACCAAAACCTCATGGAGGGCAAAAACTTTCTTTGAAAGCTGCTTTCAAAAATTGGAAATAATGCACATTTTTAACAGAATAATATTTTTGCATTTAACCCATCCATATTTGAAATATTAAGTTATATTAATTTCCAACACCACTGTATTAGTGCAAATACATTTCTGGTGATATAGTGAATAAGTGAGTGAGTTGGGTTTTATGCCACGTTTAGCAATATTCCAGCAATACCACGGTGGGAAAGTGATGAAACTTTTCGCAGGTGTTGGGTTCAATTAAACAGACTGTCAATCTAACCAGTTATCAACTCATAATATGAGGGAAGTCTTTCTAACCGATAAGAAATATACCAGATTATCAAAGGTCAACAATGTTACAAACAGATTCCATGCAACCGCACACAAATGTTTGTAAGTGTTTAGATGATATTTGCGTGTAGCATGTTGTCCATGACCTTGCAGATGGCAGTGACACAACGAGCCACACCAACACTTTCGAACTGTATGGACACACCAAGGGGGATGGAGGGGTGTACCCCATGTCTGCTTCAGAGGATGGCCGCAGCTACGGAACCTATGACAAGAGCATGGATGACTTCTCAGATGATTACAGCAAAGATTACGAGGTGAAGCTTATATGCTGAAGAAGCAGTATTTTGGCATTCATCAAATGTGTGTCTGATAGGTTATGGCAGTGTGTACTTTTCTCATGTGAAAAGAATGTAATAATGAATTCTTCATGTGAGCTGCTAAATGGCATATATCAATGATTATGTAACTTTGTTGGTTTTGTGTCCTAGTAATGCAGGATGGTGCTCATAGTGTCTATCACTAGCTTGTCTGGTCGGGTTCAGTTTTTCTTCAGTTTGGTTGAAGTAATACTCGCACCATCATATAAGAAAACACAACAATGAAACCTGAGAGCACTACATCATTCCAACATCTATGACAAGCTATACCGGTAGTTGTTGCAGTGCAACAGATCTCTAGTACATAAAGGCTTCAGGTATCGGTGTTGTCGATATCAGTATACAGACTTGTATGAGTGTTTCAATATTTCAATATTACAGAATGATGACTGCAAGCGAGTTTTTCTGCCCCAGTCAGACTATGGAAGTCGGCCATACACTCCAAATAAATTGGATTCCCCACGAATGGGACATAAACAGACATATATCCTGGACGATCAAGGGAGGCAATCGCCTTGGACAGAAGGTAAAATTGAAGCTCAGCAACTTCCTTTCATCACTCCCCTGAGCATTTCCTTGCACAGTCCTTGTTGCACCCTCACCTAGCTGTGCCTCTAGACACCCTCCATCTTCCTTTTCTGAGCATGGCAGATGTCTAAGACAGATGATGATATTGTTTTATCTGACAGTTGCAAGATCCTCACTTAATCATTGACATGCTCTGGTAGAAGTAGAACCTTGATTGCTGTTGCCACGGTGTCACATCCATTATATTTGTGTTTGATATCATAATAAGAACTGCCACCAAGAACCCCAGGCACCCAACGTGAAACCAAACTCAGAGAGATGGTTCCTTTGATTCTCATCGTGAATACTGAGTTCTTCCCCCTGCAGAACAAAGAACAATGCCGAATGGTGCACTCAGTGCAGTGTGCTGCAACTGCAGTGCTGATAAAGTAGAAATGTGAATACATATTTGTTTTTTCCGTCTAAAGGGGAAGAAGATAGTGTGAGCATGACTTTGTTGGGTCAGAGGCTATGACGGATGTGAATCCAGCTGATTATACTGATAGCGGAGAGACATTGTCTCACACAGGACCTGACCACAGTGGAATATCTCTTTATGATTTATACGGTGTCTCACTCAGGGACAGTACACGGAATGTAGTGTCACAGATTGTTTTAGTGCAGAAATGCCAACCCATACCATTTTATCGTATTCGTTACGAAAAAACAACACAAAATACATGACAAAGATAGCAGTAGAAATATGCTAAAAACAATTTTTAAATACATTAAAATCAAACAGCATACATAATTTACACAATAAATTTCAACCACATTTTATTCAGTGTCAAACATAAAGTCCAATTTCAAAGCTCAGAAGTCGTTTTTAAAAATCAATTAATTACATGCAAACCGGAGGTAACCGCCATATAGCTGGAATATTGCTGAGTTCGACGTAAAACTAAACTCCTCCCTAAAACGGAGGTAAACAAAGCCAGTGGGATGTTATAGTTATGTCCCTTTGCAGAAACTTGTCAAAGGAAGTTGTCATTGTCGCTTGAGCGAAGCGTAAAATAGCGAATCATCAGGCAGACAATCTTTATCTGTCACTGTCTTCAGTTTTAAATTGAAAATCACTATGGAAGCATCGAACCCTTAAAAACTTATAGTTGATCGACAAAGATCACTGAAATTCCTTCCAAGCTACAGTACAACGTTTTCACTGATTGAAAAATCTTCAGTTAGTGAAACCTGTGCATTTTGTAGCATGTGCAAATGTGATTTTTCCATCGCACCACAGGGCACTGATGACTGTAAACAGCATGTGATTTCAAAGAAACATAATATTAACTTTGAATTACAAGGGAATATGAAACCAGTTACCTCTTATTTTTCTCATGCATTGTACCTAAACTGAGTGAAAATGACAATGGTGTTACGCAAGCATTTTTCACAAACTTTCTTGTTAAAAATAATGGTGAAAAGTTAATACTAATTTTGGCCAAAAAATACAAATTTTTGCACCAGTTTTTGGTCAAAATACTAATTGGGCTAAATTAGGGTTGGCATCTCTGTTTAAGTGTTTGTGTGTGGGAGTGTTGCAGTTATCAGTATCACTGACTGCTGTCTCACAGAACTGTTTAATTAGTATTGAGTCATTATTAATAGATATAACCTAACAGATAGCCGATGTCAGTATGGAGTCTGTATGACAAGATGCTGTTGAGATGGATGACTGGGTGTGTAATGAATACACGAAGAGTTTTTTTCCCAACAGATCCCTATCGTGTTGCTCTGCCCAGGAAGAAAGGAACATTTGAAAATAGCCCAGACAAATCTGGCCGGAGCAGTAGACAAGACACTAGACCCAAAGTGAGAGTTGTGGATTGTATTGTATGCTTTAAACAATAACAAGAATATACAAATATTGTTTTGGTGTAAGATACAATCGTTGAAAGAGTTGAAATTAACAATACACATCACAGGTCCTTGTAGAAACCAAATGTGTATATCAAAAGAGGATTGTTAAATTTATAGCAGAAAAGGTCAGGAATTTGATGGCCCCCAAAATTTGAAAACTCTTTGTTAGAAAGCGTAAATACAGGGATGAGAATTTTTCTGCGGATTTGAGCGCACAGGGGTCATAGGATCTGGCATGGGGACCTACGGCCCCCAACACCCCCGGCTCATTTTCCTCTTTTCACTCATACACATTCTCATCCCTGTAAATAGAAAGTTGTTTCTGTAATACTATGAATCCATGAAATTATTATTAATGAGCTTATATTTCTGCCATTCACAACATGTGAACAGACTTGTAATGCAGGGTGTACTTTGTTGGTAGAGTATAACAGATTATTGTGATCGCCCACCAAGCCGTCCACCCAGCAGAACGGGTAAAACACCTCCACCCCCTCCCGTCCGAACCTCAAGCCGAGGAGCCGCTGATCAGTTACCTCCCCTGCCAGCCAGGAACTATGGCCCCCAGGACTTGCCACCGCGCTACACCTCACCCCCCGGGTAAGAACACACGATGAGCAAGTCTACAGCATCTTCGTAATGTGTTGCTCAGGATAATTCGCAGCCAGTATGATTGAAAACATTATCAGAATTCAGATAGGTTTGAAGTATCAGAATATTTATGGCTGTTTGATTCCTTAACAACATTTTAGATATCATTTCAGTTAAATGTTTCTCATTTATAGAAATGCAGTTGAGGGAAATCAATGAAATTGTGGCATGGTTTGAGTTTGAGAGAGAGAATCAAACATAATCAATATTTTTTTGTGGGATTTTTGGCGTGAAGTATTATTATTATAGAGCTACAGTATTTAGTAGGAGAGGTATGCATGATGATTCATAATGTATGTTAGTTGGACATACAGGAGATCCAACTCGTGTTGATCTGAATGATACATTCTGTAATGGTATCGGTATTACAATAAGTATGTTGCTTCCACCAAGCTGCTTCAGATTGCCTGAACTGTTTTGCCACCCTGCATGACGTGTGATTTACAATGCATGTTTCACTTTAATTGTTGATTCAGACTACCAAGAGGCAGAGAGTCATATTTGATTGCATGATGTGAGTAGAGGTCAGGTTGAGAGGTCAATTCAGATCATTCCATAACATTGGTGAAATAGTATAAAACTTCCACAGTTCTGAAATTTCTCAATGACTTACTAATCAGTTGCAAGGTCAGGGAGGTCAATACTACTTGACCTTGACCTTCCAACAACTTCTCTGATACTTCCATTCCTTCTTGATCAGACATGAGCATGTACATAGAAGTGGAGAACTATGTAACTTCTAATTCCGTAATTGAGATATCATATGTAAATGAATATGTATTGGAAAAAATATATATATCCAAACATTTGGTCTCAGTGTATGTCATGTCTGGTTAATTCATAATGGTAGTGAAAGTAACCTAGCTAGAGCTGCACTTGGTGTTTGTGTTTTGTAGCAGAGAGCTGACACAACTAATGAAATAGTTGTTAGGTATGATTAGCCTGCACTCCCCTCTGTAACTTCAACATCACTGATGTAACGTATATATGTTTCTGTGTAGAGCAAACTATATGTTGACTTGTGGCGAGATTCCCTTCTCTGTGTATATGCACAACTAGCTGGTGTATATGAATTGATGATCTCCGTGGTTAGCCTCTGGAGACAGATTGCGGCCAATAATCATTCATCTTCTCATGCATTATAGATCACAGAGAGTAAAAGATTTATGGTTGTTCAGAATTGTGTCTCTATTTGAAAATGTATTGTAATGCATCAGTTTATAGTGAATTATCAAAAGCATGTTGAAACGTGTATATCCTGAATGTGTGCGTGTTTTATTCTGGAGCACTTGTTTCTGCCTACAGACTTGGCGGACTCAATTTTCAATGAACTGCTGAAAACAATTAATTTTTCATCTTTTCACAGGCAATGTTGATGTGCTATCTCCAAACATTGTGTCCAACCTCAACTATGATGGTCCTCCCATGAGGTCCCCCTCCCCACGTGCGATGCAGAATGGTAGTGAGATGCGGGGACATCTAGTGTAGCTGCCAGCATCGATCCTACAGGATGCACAGAAACAACTATATCCTGCTTTACTTCACCATGTATTACGGACAAGATCTGTAGAAATCAGAAAGGCTAGAACAATACCAGTTTCAGTAGAGATATTGTTGAAGCCAAAATGAAGGATTATTAACTTCTGCCACAAACTTGCTTACGTGAAGAATTGCCATTAATGATGTGTTGATAGACAAATTCTTTCATTTCATGCAGACATGTGTAAGGAAGTGTTGGACTGAAACTTGTTCATACATTTACCAGTCTGACTCATATTTCTTTCTGAACCCAGCATTTGAAGATGTCTACACAATATAAATAAAGGTTCTTATAAATATCATGGATCTTCTAAATACAAACTTTGAAAAACACTTATGTATATTAATGCGAAGTTTTGTAAGTATTTCTCTGAATGTTTCGTTCATGTAGACTTGAGAACTATGTGCGGATGAGGCACAGGCTGGTCAACTAGTGGACGATCAACATGATACTGGTCAAAGTTCAAGGATATTGAGCGATACAAATTGAATCCTTGATTCACCATCTATGCATAATGCCACAGATCCGTGGCTCACTGAATGCTTGTGTACTTTACAACTGCTAAACTAGCAATGTGAAATGAAATTCAAAGCTATATATGGGATCTAGAGACCTGTTAATGTTTATTTTAAATTGAATTTACAACAGTTATGTTTATGTGCAATATTTGAATTTGCATCTCAGATTAATAGCTTTGTTATTGACTGCAATGCTAGTGAGTGTTGAGTGTTGCAGAGTTGTATACTATGCACATACCAATCAAGGGCTGACTGGTGCGAGACTTGGTCAAAGGGAAGCAACTCTGTCATGAGGTGCAGTAGAACGCTATCTTGTGCAACTAAGTCAAGAAGTGATATTGACATTCTTCCAAGCTGACACAAGACAGTTGGTGGTCATATGATTGTTGTGTTTTACCAATATTAAAGGTAGTATAGTAGTATTCATTTGTTTATATCACATCTTGAAGAAAATCTGTTGACAAGAATGAGTTTAACATGGGATTTTGTTCAAGTCATAAATGTGCCATTGTGAAACTGATTCATTGAAACATAGTGATCCGTAATGACACATATTTCATGTTTGATTGGCCGGTCGGACACAGCTCATCAATAATGGTGCTATAGACATTTATTCTTTGTAGATTTCACCTGAAACTGTGTGAACACATGCTTGTATGAATGTGGAATTTAATTTATATTGTCAGATGTTGTGTTGAGATGAAAAGCTTTAAAAAAAGTAGGGAGCATGTTGCACATTATTGGTAGTTATGTGCATTGGTTGAAGAACCTAGAAAAGGTTTTTAAAACAAATGAGATTTAGCATATTCCATTAAAAAAAATATACTATTTATTATCAAATTCTATTAGCTGAAGTTTGTAATTTGTGTTTTAGAGTGCACTGTGTCTGTTGTTTACTGTTGTAGTTGTGAGACAGACTTCCTGTATATATCTGCAGAGTGTAACATATGGTATTTTTATATCACTGTAAATGAGGCTCATTCTCCTGTTGTGACACTGATATGATGATTTTTTGTCAGAAATTTCATAAATTTTCATTTTTGTTTCTATCAAAAAATTATTGTAGATATTGAATTTTGTAGATTTTAGTTTTATTTAAGGACATTGTTTTTGAATGCCATTATAAATTCTGTAAACATATTTTCCGCAATATCATATTTTGTTCCCATGTTGTTACATATCCAACTTTACAATGCCTGAAACTTCTCTAAATACTTACTTGGTATTTCTTTTTAAATCATCACAGGTATACTTAAGCACTGATTGAAGAAATTGGTGACAAAGAGCCAGACCATATTTTATACATATTTCATTTGACATTTTCTTAGACAGTGGTCTATAGAGAAGTAAGAGGAAGTTGTCATTTAAATGGACACAGTCTTTTATTGTTCACACTTCTTTTTCTTTTCATGAACTCACTGTAGGATCTTCTGGAAAAGTTGTCTGGCTAAAAATAATTCCAGAAACACTAAACTGCATTGCGTAATAAGAATCACAGTAAGGTTGCAGCTGTTAAATATCATGTGATTATTTAGGGGTACATTGATGCCTCTGGCGTATAGAGGGGACAGCCAGCCTTTGAGAAGGCAAGATACCTTAGGGTTAGAGCATTCACTATTCCTGAAAAAGGCAAGGTACCTTGGGGTTAGAGCTTTCACTATTCCTGAAAAAGGCAAGGTACCTTGGGGTTAGAGCTTTCACTTAGAGAAGACAGTATTACTGGTGGTTTAAAGTGTTCACCTGTCATGAAATAGTTTCAGTGTGTTACATTATTGCTGTCACAATCTAGATACAGCTGCAGTATTGCTACCAGTTGCATATAAGTACTCAGACACACTTACCAGTGTTGCCTGTAGATATACATGTAGTGTGTTTTCTATGAAGAGTGAAGCTTTAACTGAGAAAGATGAACAGACACATACAAGCAAAGCTTGGCTGAGGTAGAAAATATGTGTGATGTATTTCAAAGGTTAACAGGTCCACATACAGAAGTTCCATTATAAGAAGGACTTCACATATAGGAGAGAAATCTTAGGAATGAAAGTTTTATATATCAGTTGTTTCTGAAAGAGTATACATTGTCTTCATATACTACATCTTCAGGTAGCAGAGGTTAGCCATCAATACCTTCCCTGTGTGATGTCTGTATCTATAGTGTACATACCTGTATTTAACTGTGTGTATTTAATGTACAAATGTAGCCGTGCATCAAACAATGTACACTGGATGTGTGAGAGAATGCATGATTTTCAACTTTGTACAGGAGATCCAATATATCAGTCACAATTGCCTTTACTTCTGTATACCACTTCTGTATACATCAGTGTCATTTCTGTATACATCAGTGTCATTTCTGTATACAATGCCACCATCCCAGTGAGTGGTCAATTAACAGTGTGTGTTTGTAAACATGCTCAGAAGGTTATTAACAGAGACATGTATACTGTTATACTGCTAATCAATACATCTGTCTCACAGGAAGGGGTTTGTTTACTTGGGGGTTTCAGGGGGGTCTGGTCTATGTCCATATTAATCAAAGGAAAGGCAAATTATGACATCATCTTGGAGCAGAAATAATTTCTGAATTTGATATTGTTTTTTTTTTATACAGAAGCCTTCAAACTGCACCTTGACATAGAAATGAATTCACAATGGTAGAACTCATTTTCATTGTTAATTTTAAAATTGTTGAAAGAGATTTTGATATTTTCATCAGGAGAATTGACCCACCTTACCTGTGGGTCTCCAGGTCTGCTGCCTTATACAGAGGCGTGACCTGGAGCCACACTAAACACATCTAGTCACACATGGATCACTGGCTTCTACCTACCTGCATTAATTACTGATGTGTATCATAACAAGTTTATCAGTAATAAAGTATATTTTGATTGTCTAGTATTTATTGGGTCTGTTGTGCTATTTGTCATAGAGCTATGACACTGAAGATACTGCTTGTTGGTGTCCTCAAAGCTTGAAGAGACCATAGCTAGAGATCCTAGTTCCACCAAGTGACTGCATGGGAACCATTCCACTTCTATCTCTTTCTGTTTGTGCTGTTGTTTTACTTTGTTTACAGCCACCCCCAGTAACATTGCCGTTATGAAGTTGTCTGTAAATAATCAGATCTGGACCTGACAACCTAGTGATTGCTATTATTACCACAATTCGGACACAATCACATGCAATGTACAAAGTCATTCGGCATGACCAGCCCAATTGGTTAGATGCCTGATAGGTCAATCATGCGTATTTGATGGACATATTTGGCTTCAATCTCCATCGCAGATTTCCTTGTGGTTAATCTAATACTTCAATCACATATGCTAATGACCAAGTTATTGACTAGGTATTACAATGTTTTCCATGAGCTAATCAAGGGCATATCATGTGAGCGTATTTTCTCCTGTTTGTAAACAAACATGTCCATCAGGGTAAGACTTCAGCCCCTATCTCCCCCTGATTTTAACAATAAGGAAAAATTTCTTTCAGTGGCATTTCCAGAAGTTGGATATGTCTTTCAGTATGCTCAGATACAATTAACAAAACACGTTAAAACTCATCCTTATCAGATGAATATATATTCAGGTGAGAATAGAGACCGATCCTATTTCTCGACAACAGTTTGGCAAATCTGAAATTGGTGCTGATGGCGAGTTGTTGGAATGTTCACACTCTCAAACGCGAGTTTGACAACGTGTTGTCATGTGTTGTCAAACTTTAGTTTGCCGTGTGACGGCCGCTTTAGTGGAAGCCTTCCAGTGTGATCTTTTATTTGGCTTTGTAGGTCACTTGTTGTCACTTATGTAGGCCATGTGAACAAGTACCTTTAAGTGAAGCCTTACTTACGTTGAATCAAACGTCGCTTTACTTATTAACAAGGTTGGAGAGAACACCAGCAACAGTGTGCTGTCCCGTCTGTGAAGGAAATAAAGTGCATCTGACAGAATTCCAGGTGAAATCTCACTTGAAAGTATACTATTACTGGCAATCTCTAAAGTTTTTATGTCAGGAACCACGAAATTAAGGCAGAATTTTGGGGTGTAAGTGACATATCGCTTATTTCCGTCCTGTCAGAGTTTTTACTTTTTGTTCCACCCATGAAACGGATATATTTGCCATGAAATAGCTTATACCCTGTCAACCAGAACATGTTGATATGCTCACTATATCACATTTGGCGAATGTCATCTGTACTAAGGAAACTTACAACATCCATGAAAAGAAAGAAGACAATACAATGTATTTTTTCAATGGAAACTGATTCAGTGCACCAGTTCGTTACACCTGACATAAAGTTCTGACAAACCATGTTTATTCAATTCTCTCAAAACCTCTGGCAACATTGTACCTATTTGAGAAATATGGATGTTGGTCGCATCATATTCATCAGATTCCGAGGAAACATTTTCTTTCTTTCTTGGAGGCTCACGCTCACTATAATCCTTATCTTCTAATTTTCAATGTCTTTGGGATGTCAGTTATTTCCTTATGAATCTCAGGTGGGACGTGTTTGTAATGTTTCCTCTCATACTTTAGTGACCCAGTCACCTCACAAAGCTTCGGTTTTCTGATAATTAATCTTTCGGATGAATGTTCGTCTTTCATATGCGTAATGACATCACAAAAACTTTGAGAAGCATGCCCACAATAGTCACATGCGTATGGTTGCATTAAAAGGTTTATCTGAAACGTGAAAAAGCAAATCCTTTAGAAAACACCTACATATTTTTGACGTAATGCGTTCACTGCCGATGACGTAAATCGTTCACAACGCTAAAACAGTGGTCGCGTTCACCAGGACAAACATACCACTTGTTTTCAGTGCTTATATCTCAAAAACCGTATACTATAATGTTTTGACCCGTGAAGGTCCGGGTTAGAAGGTAGAATGAACCCATGCTTGTTCTAAGAGGGGACTAACGGGATCGGGTGGTCAGACTCGCTGGCTTGGTGGACACATTTCATCGGTTCCCAATTGCGCAGATCGATGTTCATTCTGTTGATCACTGGATTGTCTGGTCCAGGCTCGATTATTTACAGACCGCTGCCATATAGCTGGAATATTGTTGATTGCGACATAAAACTAAACTCACTCACTCACTCACTATAATCTTTTTGAAATTTTGGGTATGATCAAAACATACATGTATCTTTTAAACTGTACATTTGTTCAGATTGTTTGTTTGGTTTTATAATAATTGTATACCATTGTGCGGGATATACAAAATGATATTTCAGATGTCCATCGACGCCCATTATATACCAACAATTTGGAAAACCTCGCATATAATCCCCGTTCCCAAAAAGTCAAAATCTTCAATAAGTAATGACTACCTCCCAGTGGCTCTTGATCCAATATTCATGAAATGCTTTGAGCGAATTATCTTGAACTTAATTAAGTAAAATACTGGACATCTAATGGATCCTTTACAATTTGCGTACAGGGCCAGGCGCGGGGTAGAAGATGCACTCATTTCACTGTTGCATAGGATCTATACTCAACTCGAAATCATCTTCAAAATCTTATGTAAGAATCCTCTTTGTGGACTTCTCCTCTGCTTTCAACACAATCCAGCCACATTTGATGATAAGGAAATTATTTAACATGAAAGTAAACAGTAACATCATCAAGTGGGTAGAGGCCTTCTTAATTAACCGACCTCAACGTGTTCGGTTCAGTTCAACGCTTTCTGACGTTAATCTTGTGAGTACCGGTGCTCCTCAAGGCTGTGTCCTGTCCCCTGTCCTCTTGACACTCTATACAAATGATTGTATATCTCACTAAGTCTTATCCACCTGTTTGAATTTCAGATTTGCTGATGATGCCGCTTTGGTTGGGTTTATTCGTCAATAGGAGTTGGAGTATAGGAAAAATATTGATGCGTTTACTTCATGGTGCAAAGACAATTTCCTTTCCCTGAACATAAACAAACAAAGGAAATGATAATTGACCTCCGAAGCAAAAGGACAAATTGGAATCTGTTTGTATTGATGGACAGGAAGTAGAAACAGTAGAAATATGGATGTTGGTCGCATCATATTCATCAGATTCCGAGGAAACATTTTCTTTCTTTCTTGGAGGCTCACGCTCACTATAATCCTTATCTTCTAATTTTCAATGTCTTTGGGATGTCAGTTATTTCCTTATGAATCTCAGGTGGGACGTGTTTGTAATGTTTCCTCCTCATACTTTAGTGACCCAGTCACCTCCACAAAGCTTCGGTTTTCTGATAATTAATCTTTCGGATGAATGTTCGTCTTTCATATGCGTAATGACATCACAAAAACTTTGAGAAGCATGCCCACAATAGTCACATGCGTATGGTTGCATTAAAAGGTTTATCTGAAACGTGAAAAAGCAAATCCTTTAGAAAACACCTACATATTTTTGACGTAATGTGTTCACTGCCGATGACGTAAATCGTTCACAACGCTAAAACAGTGGTCGCGTTCACCAGGACAAACATACCACTTGTTTTCAGTGCTTATATCTCAAAAACCGTATACTGTAATGTTTTGACCCGTGAAGGTCCGGGTTAGAAGGTAGAATGAACCCATGCTTGTCGTAAGAGGGGACTAACGGGATCGGGTGGTCAGACTCGATGGCTTGGTTGACACATTTCATCGGTTCCCAATTGCGCCTATCGATGTTCATTCTGTTGATCACTGGATTGTCTGGTCCAGGCTCGATTATTTACAGACCGCTGCCATATAGCTGGAATATTGTTGATTGCGACATAAAACTAAACTCACTCACTCACTCACTATAATCTTTTTGAAATTTTGGGTATGATCAAAACATACATGTATCTTTTAAACTGTACATTTGTTCAGATTGTTTGTTTGGTTTTATAATAATTGTATACCATTGTGCGGGATATACAAAATGATATTTCAGATGTCCATCGACGCCCATTATATACCAACAATTTGGAAAACCTCGCATATAATCCCCGTTCCCAAAAAGTCAAAATCTTCAATAAGTAATGACTACCTCCCAGTGGCTCTTGATCCAATATTCATGAAATGCTTTGAGCGAATTATCTTGAACTTAATTAAGTAAAATACTGGACATCTAATGGATCCTTTACAATTTGCGTACAGGGCCAGGCGCGGGGTAGAAGATGCACTCATTTCACTGTTGCATAAGATCTATACTCAACTCGAAATCGTCTTCAACATCTTATGTAAGAATCCTCTTTGTGGACTTCTCCTCTGCTTTCAACACAATCCAGCCACATTTGATGATAAGGAAATTATTTAACATGAAAGTTAACAGTAACATCATCAAGTGGGTAGAGGCCTTCTTAATTAACCGACCTCAACGTGTTCGGTTCAGTTCAACGCTTTCTGACGTTAATCTTGTGAGTACCGGTGCTCCTCAAGGCTGTGTCCTGTCCCCTGTCCTCTTGACACTCTATACAAATGACTGTATATCTCACTAAGTCTTATCCACCTGTTTGAATTTCAGATTTGCTGATGATGCCGCTTTGGTTGGGTTTATTCGTCAATAGGAGTTGGAGTATAGGAAAAATATTGATGCGTTTACTTCATGGTGCAAAGACAATTTCCTTTCCCTGAACATAAACAAACAAAGGAAATGATAATTGACCTCCGAAGCAAAAAGGACAAATTGGAATCTGTTTGTATTGATGGACAGGAAGTAGAAACAGTAGAAGAGTATAAATATCTGGGTACTATCATTGATAATAAACTTTCATGGAAATCAAATTCACATCGTGTACATATATAGGAAAGCACAACAGAGGCTTTTCTTTCTGCGAAATTTGCGATCATTTAATGTCTTAAAATTGTAAATTTAAACGAGACTTACCTGTAAGGTGAAGTTTGAAAGCAATTCTCCGAGGTACCAGGGCACAAGTGAGATCACATGATAT